GAATGAATCAGCATGAAACCAGGCCTGAATATAAAGTGAGAATCAAACTTACTCAGTGTTTTAACCTCGCCGGATACAAATCTAATGCCCCTTAACCTCTCAGAACATTTTATAAAAATCAATGTTTATCAAGATCTGATGCAGATGATACAGAAGAACACGTGACTTCAGAGGAGCTTTACCATAAAGAGCTGATTATGTAAGCGTCTGCTGACACACACACACACACACACACACACACACACACACACACGCACACACACACACACACACACACACACACACACACACACACACACACACACACACACACACACACACACACCCAGCTGTCTAAAACTGGCATCATGTGAGCTCAAATGTTGCTGGTGGCACCGAGCCAGGAAGTCCATTTGTCCTCGGCACACGGGGGTAATACTAAGAGAGGCTTTGAACTGGTTTCACTTTGAAAAGGTCGGATATTACATGCATGTCCACTTCATCCTTGTTGCCACGCTTTAAAGACGCTCCTGCCTGTGGAAATGAGCGATCAGAATCCTCAACGGAGGAAAATCACACTTTTAGGGTAAATTTACATCACCTGCACAGCTCATTTTGACTTGAATTACCTTTACTACACTCATACCTTCCAACTGAGCAGAAAAAAGTTACTGTATTATTAACATAATACTTGGATAAATCAAACCAGAACACCTTCTTGTGTTTACAGTGTCCCCCACATGGCAATCCATGCTATTTTTAAACCACAAGACATGTTTTTTTAGGTAAAGGTCAAAGTTCCTGCTTCAAAAAAAAGCGTCTCATTAATAATCTATAAATAGCAGGCAGCCTCAGCTCTGAAGGACGTTTATTGTCTGAAAACATTTACATAACTGGATGTTGGCTTCCTTTGACACAAGAGCTCAGTTTTATCTGATCAGTCTAAAGCTGCGTTCCGGCTTTAAGACTCAGGTACGTTTCACAGCCTTCAGTGGGAATTGTTGTGCAAAAAGAGAGAAAAAACAGAGTCTTTGCAGCTTTTTATACCCTCTGTGAAACATGAGCTGCTGAGAGACACTTTTCCTGCTCAATGCGGAGAAGAGTGTCACTGGAGATGGAGAAACTGGTTTCATTTGAGAGCATGAAAACGAGCTGTGGAATAAGATACAACATTCCCGATTAGAGTTAGAAACTCCCTGAAACACACACAGCCCACCAGGTTTCCAGCTAAACTTTCAGCTCATACGTAGTTAAACATGTCTTCATCAGGAAAACATGTTTAACCTCTAAATGTTTATTTAAATACAAGTACAGCTAAAATACAAACCATTTTACTTAGCTTACAAGATATAAGAACATAGAGCAGTGCATCTGTTGTGCTTTTGTTTTTATGAGTGAGGAAATGGGACACAGAAAATGTTCTTACTGTTTTTGTCCTATTACATTGATTAGCTCTTTGAACACATTTTAATTTTAGTAGTTTTATTTGTCAAGGAAAATTAAGTTATCAAAATCAACCTGGCTCTTAATTAACCACATTTATTTGGGAATCTGAGTTCAGTTAGAATAACCTGTATGATGAAGAAATCACCCCGGCTGACTACATAAAGTAGGCAGAAAAATTCAAGAACAGATGAGAAAGCTAAATCTCTGGTATGTATCGGTCAAGAAAAAACTTCACAACTTCTAAAACATTGAGAAGCTGGGAAATGATCCAAAGCACAACAGCAAGTCCAATGAATGGATTGAAAATATATGATGTGACTTAATCAAAGTCTGTGCTTAAATGCTCAAAACAAATAGATGCATGGTCTTTAAAAGAATGATTCATGCTCTAAAATACATTTAAAAAAATATTTCTGTAAAGAGACGCCGGCCAGTGATGTAAAAACACTCACTGCCACTCACTGTGTTCACTTGGGCCGAGTGGCAACTCAGAACGACACCATAGGTTAATAATTTTGTGGAGTAAAAGAGCTTTTACCCTGTGAAATATTTACGGTTATATCATGATAAAAGTGGGAATGTTTACAAGAGGTATGATTACCTTTGATAAAGATCAGATGTTGATTATGCTCAGTAAAAACATATAAATAGCCTTTGGTAAATAAACCAAACCTTTCTGTTTCTGCAGGGGAAAAGCATCCACTCCATGTTGTCATTACTTACCCTTTCTTGTACTTGATGGAAAGAGCTTTCCAGAAATCAATTTCCTCGTCCTTCGAGGAGAATTTTGGCATCATGTCCATTTCCATGGCAAACAAATCTGCAGGAGAGAATTAGCAAAGAACATATATCACCTTGAATTTACTTTCAATTATCAACCTCAAACAAGAGTCAAGATAAAATTATTTTTCACAGGTAATGTTCTGTTTATAGTCATACATTTAAAGAGTCCTAAACACAAATCATCTACTGCTGGCCTGAAAACTACTTGGCACCCTGATAAATCTCTATAAAGAGCCTCAAACTGCATTCAGGTTTGATCAGTTTCAACAATCTTTGCCCATTCCAGTGAAATCTCTCCTGATCATCCTCGGTTCTCCTCTTCAGCTCACCGTCCTCCACAGGTTTGCTACGGGTTTAGGTCTGGAAACTGGAATGGAAGCAGGTTGATTTTTTTTAATTTGGTGTGGTTCTGTATCCATGTGATTAAATGTTTTTGATCGTTATACGCTGAAAGACCCGGTGATGACCTATTTTCAATGTGAAAAAAAAAAATGACTGGGTTTTTTCTTTAGCCCAAATGTTGGGTTTATGCTATTGGGGAGGTTTGAGCAGACAGTTTGAGCCTCATCGTTTTTACAGGCAGCCATTTTGGATTGAACAACGTGATTCTCTTCCACAGGTCGATAGTAAATAATGTTAACATGATCCAACCGAGCAATGTTGCACAAAATCAACTAAAGCCTAGATTTGTCAATATTTGATTAAATTAAAACATAGCCCTGGTTGGCTTGTTTTTAACCCAGCGGTTTTTACACTGGAGCGTTACAAAGAGTTCTCGATACTGCCTCAGGGACTCAAATTATTACAAATCCTCCATCATACTTGACAGTAGACCAGAGGTGAGGTGCTCATGGAGTGGGAATATTTAATCACAGCCCACAGTCTCAGTTAAAGTCTCAGGAGAGTGTAGCAGAAGCCTCGTGTTTCAATGTTTAACCCAGTGATAAATGAGGAGGGCGCTAGTAAACGCAGTGCAAATACAGTATAAGATAAAGTGTAGCTAGGACTTACACCCAGCAGGGCAATATTAATCAGAAACACTCAGTGAAGACTAACAGCCCCCAACATGATGGTTAAACAAAGGGCTTTATAAATAAAGACTTACAGAGTCTTTATTTATAAAACTTTGGGTTTTTTTTTCATGTGTTATTTCATTCCACTCACAACTATGCACTGCTTAGTTCTGTATAGTTCATCACATGAAATCTACAAAAAATACATTAAGATGTACAGAGCTTCTTGAATAACTGTTACATTTAATAATGATGAGATCAAAACACATTTGTAAACAAAAAAAGATCTTAGTTTAGTCTAATTTGATTACATAAAGCACTTTTAATGTCTAACAGACAAACAATATTTTATTCATAAATGGTGATCAAATAATTTATCTTGTTATTAAATGTTAAATGGGTATTTATTATTTATTACTAGTGTCACATCAGAATACCCTTAAATTAGGTGTGGATTATATTTTTAGTCTTTCAGAAATGACATATGATAAATTTTTTTAAATAAATGGATCTGGGTTTAATGGGTTAATAGATGGTGAAGCTGAACACAGATCAGATGATTATCATATTTTAATGACTCATAAAGAAAATATTAGGTGTACATTCTATTGAAGTGTAGACAAAATGACAGTAAACGTCCATTTTTCCATATTTATATTTAATATGGGACTTTATTGGGGTGAGGGCGAGACATATCGATGATGCTGTTGAGCTCAGCTGTCAAAACTGGGTGTGCAACAATCCGAACACGACCAGCCAGAGACAACCGCGAAGGATCCAGGATTTTAATTCGGTTTGTTCATTTTATTTTTTACTTCAAGAAAAGGACTATATGAAAAGCAAAGAGCATCAGTACCTGATCATCGCTTCCAAGGGTTTATGGGTCCATCGCTGCTCGGAGCTGCAGAAGCTGACCGTCCTCTGCTGTCTGATGGTCTCCACTCCACTGCGCTCGGCGGATTTAAAGGGAAACGCACCTATAAATAAAATCACAGCTTCTCCTGTTCTATCTCCTTCTGCGGGATGTTGAGAGTGAGCAATGGATCCCCACAGAATAAAAATATGCATATCTGAAACACATTTTAAATACTTTAGACGCACAGATGGTTACAAATGTACATGCAAATGATTTCTTATTGGAAAAAAGGCATGGCTGTTGAAGGCCTTTAAAATAAATTCACTGATTTAGCTTTTTCTTTTTTTTTTCTTTTTACAGAAAATAATTTAGATGTAGGGTGGACCACTGGACCTGCTCCATGGGCATTACCACTGCGCAATATTGCGCATGAGACACAAGTTTATTAAAATAGCACCACCTACTGGTGATCCAAGAGCACAGACTGTGATATTTGAAGGATGTGTTTAAGAGCTATATGACAGATTTTTAATACAACGTCAAGTAAATATGACAGATTGGGATGTAAAAATATGTATCGACAGAAAAAAAGTAGAAAAAGGGGAATTAGTGAAGAGAAACTGAAAGAAGTTGCTTTTAAATGTTTCATCTTTCAACCACGGCATTTTGTTAATGATTATATTCGCTAGCTTAACATATTAAGCTAGCGAATATGTAGCAAGTCTCTCCTATACTTCATAATAACATTTCAGCAGTAGGTTTACTCACAAACCTAAATTACCTATATCAGTTGCTGTATAATTTTATTTCTATGTGTAGCTATAATTTTCAACCAAGTAAACCAACGACAAACAAGTAAAAACACACACAAAAAAAACGTTTATTCTTACGTCGTGACGTCAGAGCGCAAGTTGCGTGAACATGTTGCCGTGGTAACGGAGGTCTCGCTCAGCTGTCCTGAGTATTTCCGGGGAGCTTCAAAGTCTTCCTTCAAACTTCTGGGACGCCATGGAGGATGACGAAGAGAGAAGAACTTTGTTTGACGTGGTTTACGGCAAAAAGTCAGAGGTCTGTGCCGAAAGTTTGCAAATGCTGCGTGTTATTCTTCTCGGAAGTGACATCACATTTGATAAACAAAGCTGTCATGTATACGAATGAAAAGATCAGTCCTGCAAGTTGCCCAGTGTTAGAGCACAGTGGCCACATGGGATGTTTAGGGCACATTGGTCTACAGGTTGATTTGAGGTCTGACTTCCAAGGCAAATGCAGCATAACATCGTGGCAATGTGTAAAATACAACCTTGTTCTCTCTTCTCACAAGTAAACTGTATTGCCATTTCTGTATACATTTCTGAAAAGACACAAGTAGGCATGTAACGTGATTATTGAGCAAAGGGGCACTTTCTGTAACACATGGGTGTCCAACTTGATCCGTCTTGTTTTAGATGTGTCACTGCCGCACATCTAACTCAAAAGGCTGAAGCACTTTCTCAGCATGTCATTGTGTCCTGCAGAGATTTTCTAATGAACGATGTGTTTGATTCCGTTGTGCTGAAATAGATAAATATTGAGACATAGGAGTTCAGGGTTTTTAATGGCAAAGTCAATTGCAGTTTGGTCCCTTGAGTTTCACATTTTGTCACAGGACAATCAAGTTTTAACAGTTTGGGAGTTTTATGTGATAGAAACTATTTTACTATTTTGCTGCAGATAGTGCTGCAAATGTGAGTCTCTACTGCTTCTCTTATTAATGTCCTCTCTGCCAGTTTAGGTCGACAGTACCTATTGATTATGCTTTTCCAGTTTCAGATTATGGACGTTCAAAATCTGAAACACTGGTTTTATAACCTAACCTCGCTTGAAACATCTCCATAATGTCTCCATAATGTTTGTTTGCCTTTAAAACGTATGTAAGACCATTATAGAGCAGGTCTTTGCTGTATTTTGTTCTGAATATCCAGCTCCTCCTCTATTTCACCTTCAGCGTTTACACCACAAGGTTATCCTTGAATGAGAGTCACAGAAAAAAGCTGCAGGCTTGGTCTTTTAGGGCCTGTAGAACAATGGGTTTCTAGGTTGTAAACTGTGGAAGCACACAATAGAAAACCTCGGTGAGACTTTACTCTGTCGCTACTTCAGCAAAACTCAGACAGAGACGAGGTTGGAATAACAAGTGATGGAGAAAATGGAGGCAGAAGAAACAAAAGAGGAGACTGGGACTAGTTTATTATACCAGATGAAGAAGGAAAAGATGGAGGAAGATGTGGTTTGTGCACAGTTTTGGGTTTTTCTATGGATTTCATTCAACAAATTTGTTTCTTTGTATTTTTAAAAAGGTCAAAAAGCTAATGATACAAGCTGGCTACTTCTGAAGGCTCTTCATTTTCTCTCTCTCTCTGCAGAAGATCGTGCTGCAGCAGCTGACGATGGTAGCCCAAGTCCCAAGCGATGCTGCTGATAGAACAGAACTGGGAGGTCAGCTACCAATTACCTTACAGCTATAGAGCTTGACACTTTAATTATCTGATACCAATTTAATTCAGTTTTCCTTACGGGGGAGTGATAATGTGACAATATTCCTTGTGATATAATAAAGGAATAGCCCTACATTTGAGTCTGTGCAGAAAAAACCCAGAGGGACATTTTTTTTCTAGTAAAATCTTGTCCTGTCTTCACCGTCTGAGTGCTTTTACAGCTCTTTGTGTAAATGTCTGTTTATCGACATTTATGAGAGCTGCTGACGAAATTCCTAGACATTTATTGGAGTAGAAAAGCAACAATAAAAGCTGGGATAGTAGTGGAGCTGCGTGTTTATAACAAGCTGGTTTTTATGTGGCAGTGTGCAGCCTAACTGTTTGTTTGCATCTGAGCAGCTCGTTATGAAAATCTCATCGCTCAGTTAACTAAACAGCACAAGTTGGATTATGGGATCACAGGGCTGCTGCTCATTTACCCCACCTGTCTGCTGCATATCATTGAGGCAAGTTCTGCTTCCAGGTGAAAGTCAGACTGTCAGATTTATACATGTAGTTGACTGTGTTTGTCTTACAGGCATCTGAACATATGCTGGATTGTTTTTTGAACGAATTCCAAGCCATGCAGGAACAGCCGGATTGGTAACCATCCCATTGCTAATGTTTGCTAATGAGAACATGCGAGATTGTTCCCCAAGTCGCTTTCTATGTTTTCCTTGGTCTCTGACAAACCTCTGAGGTTAAATCACACTTAGACCTCCATTAATTTCTGACAATTTACATTTTCTCATATGAATGAATAGTTTTGCAATAAACTTCTGTTAGGTGGATCTGGCTTGATGCCAAAGATTCTTTTGTTTTCAGGCACCAGATGAAGAAAAAAATCATAACAAAGACATTAAGATTTGGCTCCATTCATAAAATGTGCACCCTTCACATCAGTCCACCTAGTGAAAAGCATTTGAGCTGCAAATGTTTTCCACGGAAAGTGAAGGAATCAACAAACGTTAGCAGCCATCAGTGAGTTCAGGAGCTAAATGTAAACTGACTGAGCAGCCAGTATGACTTTCCCTTGAGTTGTGCTACTGGAATGGCTGAAGCAGCCTAATTAATGTGAAATCACTGCTGCTCAAAGGTGGATGGACATTTTAAATGATTTTATTACTGCTGACAAACTGCTGAAAATCTTTCTTTTCAGCACCTTGCTGGAAGCTAAGATTGTTTTCATGTGGCATAGTCCGGAAAGCAGACAGTTCCGGCAATGGAGCTATAAGGTGAGCTCTTTACATCTCTTCCTTGAGGTGCTTAGAGATGTTTCTGCTGATACCACCAGGTTTCGTTTTTCTCAGCTGTCACCTTTGTGTGTGTAGTTTTGAAGCTGCCTGTCATCCTGCAGGTGCTGACTGCAAAACAGATAGATGACAACCCACTGTTCACCAGGCTTGAAAAAGTGGAGGAGAGCATAGAGACGGTGGTCTCCCGCGTCCTGACGCCGCTGCAGAAGCTGGTTACGGATTTAGAAACTTCTAGGGTTGGTCTTTTGTTTCCTGAACAAAATGTGAAGACATAGCAAATATGTACACAATTTGTCATATTACAATCGCAACTTCATAATTACACACTGGTAGGTAGATTATGTGTTTTACAAATACGAATTAGAACAAAGTGCTACGTATTTGTATTCAGCTTCCCTGACTCAGGACTTTATGGAATCAACTTTGACTGAAGCCTCTATCAACTCTGTTACCTCTAGTGTAAAGTCAGTTTTAACCATTCTCCTCTTTTTTGGTTTCTTACTGTTTTGGGGAAAACACAACAAATATCTGTGGTTTGTAAAGACTCTCACACCTGAGGTGTGGATCCCTGCAGATCCTCCAGAGTTACTCAATCGTACCGTAACAAAAAGTGAAACAGTTCAAGCCATTTGAGCACTTGTGGAAGTCACTGCAATGTTGTGACTGCATGACTGTGTTTCCAGGACCTTCCAGGCGCCATCTTGGATAAGAAACCAGAGTTTTTGAATCCACCCGAGCTTTTGGAGCAACTTTTTGACCGAGATGAACTTTTAAGTCCCAAGCAGTACCTGCAGATGTATCACTGCCCCTTAAACATCCGCATTAATTTTGGTAAAAGGAACTTCATTCTCAGTCTGAAAATAAAATTCACCTCAATAGTTAGTTATTTCTGTTTTTCTGAAAAATCATATTAACTGTAAAGTATGACCACAGATAAAAAGAGGAAGAATACTAACATTTTACTTTGTTGTTGTTGCTCAACAGGACAAGTCAATCTCAGCTCCTTCTTCTAGAGCTTCCAGCTGTCTGTCCGTCCATCTGTCTGAGCACCATGAAAAGCATCCAGTTTACAGTGAATGTTTGTGTTTAAAGCAAGAGAGCATGTTGGAAACTAAATGTGTTAAATTTAACACTGTTTTTAAATCACATCAAGGGTTAAGTTTAACATTTTCACATTTATTTGACCTTTCTTTCCCAGGATTGAAAGCTGAGCTCATCATTTTTACTTTGCGTCTTAAAGTAACTTTTTTGGCAGATGGAGTCAGTTCAGTCCACTGTTATTCTTGTTTCATGGGCAAATAATATTTTATTGTAAAGCAACTAACATGAACTATAATGTCCTAATCTGACACAAATTGATCTGTCAATAATCTGTCGGCATATAAATAGACACAATGTTACTGAAGATATTAAATCACCTGAACAAGCTGTGAAATGCTGTAGCTCTGTTTTCATCATGAACATGATGGCCCTAATCATCATGCTCTGCTTCAGTCCATTGGACTGATATCCCTTCTGAATTAGATTATGCTAAATTCTTAACCATATGCCGAATCTGAGATTTAGATGTGTTTGCAACAGAAACAAAGGACATCAGATTAATATAAAAACAAGTTTAATAGTTTCAACATTCGGATGATTAAACTTTTATTTTTTTCCCGTCTTACACTGAATTCCACTTGGTGACCAAGAGATAAAAGATTTTTTTTTTTAAAGAACTGCAATTTCCTTTTTTACTCCAGACTTTGAGAGTCAACAGCATCACTACAGTTTAACACAAAGATTGGATCAAATGTTTTTTTTTTTTTTTTCCCCTTTTCAGTTTGGCCCCTTAACGTATAACTTGAATCTTTGCAAAATGAAAAAAAAAAAAAAGAATAAGAGTGAGTATTTTGGCTGCAATGACTGCATGCACCACAGTGTAATCTACACACTAAACTGGATTATTCTAGGATATACAGCGTTCCAGTAGATTAAAGTCCAGTAGTTTACTAAACAGGGTTTTTTTTTAAAGGATCGTGGTCTCTGTTTTGAGCTGATTTGCTTTTTCACGACAAGGTGGAACATATGAGTGAAACGTCTGAATGATTTAAGAACTGACGAGGGGTTTCGCTGAAAAAGGAAAGGGTAAAGGGCAGCACTGACTATTACTTCCTGTGGAGCCTGATCTTTTCTCTCATCGAAAATAAATACAAGCACATTTAGATAGGACCAAATATAAGACGTGTTTCATAGGCATGGTGAAAAAGCATGCTGTAGACAATGCACAAAAGACGATGTTGAAGTTCATCCCACAGAACTGCTCATGATGCATCCATCCAGTCTGATGCATGAAACTACGTGGATGATGCGACACACCCGCTTCCATCTGAGGTGAATATTGTTTGTACATTCCAGCTGTTTGTGTAGAAAAAGGCCTTATATATAGATATATTTATATATATGTCAGTGCTCAAAAAGCTGAAGACTATGTGGGATGTGAAGTTTGATGTGTTCTGAAATCATTTGGTGAAAAAATGGCAACAGGAAACAACACAGAGCGGAGACAGATAGACCTCAGCCCAACTACAATGGCTGCTAAGTTCTTGCTTTGTTTTTCTCCTCCTAATTATCAACTACTTGATTATTGCAGGATTATGCTAATTCATCTGGTGGATCCGATCGATTGTGACATGACAGCAGATTAAAAACGATTCAAAACATAAAATGTATCAGCTACCAGAGAGTTAAAAGCTGGGGTTGTAAAAACTGAAGAAAATCATGGAAACTTAAATTAATGTCCTGTACAGGTGCTCTTTGATAAAAAAAAAAAAAAAAACATCTGAAAGTCAAATTATTCCAGTAATTCAGTTAAAAAAAACCCTCATGTATAGATTGATTATACATACAGAGATTTATTTTAAGGTTTTATTTCTGTAAATTCTTCTAATTATGGATTACTGCCAATGAAAACCCACAACGACTACTCAGTAAATTTGACAGTATTGTAATAAAAATAACCGATTTCTAATACTGAATATATATATATTCAGGATAATATTTTTTATACAGAAATTCAATGTTCACAGTAAAACCTGCTGATTTGATCGAATAAACAGCAGAAACTCAGTTAAACCCTCTTCAAGGAGGGAGAACCACAAAAGGTCGTTGCAAGTCCTGTAAGCAAAGCACATTCATGGAAAGTTGAGTGGAAGGAAAAGAGCCACATGGAGCTGTATCTAAAACATTAACCCTTTTAATTCTTTGTTATTGGTCTGTTGTATTAGAATTTTCTGAGAACACAACAGAATTTAGGTTTTCATTAACTGTAAACCATGATGAAGAAACTCACAGCCATAAACAGTTGAACTATATCAAACTGTCTCTCTGAACTGAACTCTAAAATAAATTAACCTTTAAGAGTCGATTCAATAAAAATGCTATATCAAGATTTATATCTGCTCTTCACTGGTTGATTTATAAAAAGGTAAGCTGTAATTGTATCTTGTAACCATTTGGACTTCCTTTATCAGTGGAATAAAAATGCAAATTGAAGCTCAAGACCACGTGTCAAACTCGAGGCCCGTGGGCCAGATCTGGCCCGCAGTAAGTTTATATGTGGCCTTCTAGATTCTAGACCAAACACTGAATGTGCTTAAATATTGTTATCAACCAAATTAATGTAGTTTTTATCTGTTTTCTGCCAAATTATATCAATCAATCAATCCCTCCAGTTTCTTCAGAATTATTGTCGAAATTCACAAAATCAACAAATCCCAGCACTTTTCTGAGTTAATAGTAGGAAGTTTATTGCAGATTTTTTCTCAAAAATTGTATAAAACTTTCTTACTTGTACTAAACAGCTGCGTCAGCCTTAATTGAAGTCAAATCATAATCTATTACCGATACGAGTAATAAAAAGTTGGATTTACCGTCATAAATTATGGTAAATATTTCCAAATTACTACCACAAACACTTTTTATTGTAAAAAAAAAACATCACAAAATCCTGGAGGGACTGAAAAGATATTCAATAATATTATTTAATTTCAGGAATTCATTGATATTCTATCAGTTTGTGAACAGGTTTGTCAATATTCTGGCACAACCGGCCCTTTAAGAGCATTTATGTTCTTGATTTGGCCCAAAACAAAAATGAGTTTGACACCCCTGATCTAGACTATCAGGCAGTTTTGCTGACAGGTGCTGTGACCAATCCCACAATCACAGGTGCAGTTTCTGTTGTCAAGTAGTGTAAATAATTAGAACTAAAATATACACATTCACACATTCAAATGTAAAATAAAATGGCCAGAATAACTTGAGTATCCAGTGAAATGCCATGCTGCATCATGTAGCTGCAATGACTTGTCAGACCAAGAAGCTAAAGACAAAAATAGATGTGGTATAATCTGTTTCTTCTACCAATAAAGCTAAAAACAAGGATTGAGAGGTCCGGAAGTTTGCAACACAAACACCATGTTTCCATGTAGAAAAGAGAAGCCACCATCTGATGTGTAAATGTGACATTATTGTGCTACAACCACCAACATTATAACCATATATGTACAGCGTGTTTAGTTTTCGGTAAATGTGAATAGATTTCGATATATCTGACTCTTCCTGTTGTCCGTATGTACAGAATAAATATTTACAGGCGCATCAAGATTTACAAAAGTCCTGCGATTTCGTGGTTTCACACTCACCGAGAGGCGATGGCAGAGCAGCACAGTGGACGTTCTTAGGACAGAAACCGAAGGTCCTACAGGTTGGATAGGTCACGACGAAACCCTCCACAAGGCATGTAGCAAACTGCTGCTGTTCCTAACCTCGTTACATCAGTTTGACTGATTTTCAAGTTTTAATGCGGCAGCAGAAAAAAATCTGGTCCTGTGTCTGAATACGTAATTTCTTTCTTTTTGTTTAAATCCTCAGACAAGATTCACGTGGAGCGCAAATACTCACAGCTCCTTACACCAAGTAAACCGTACTCAGACATATATCTATAAATACTCTCATCAAAATAAACAAATATACAGATATCTTTGCTCTTGCCTCTGGATCACCAGTAAAACCCCCAAAAATATCAGCATCATCAGTTTCCTATAAACTGCAACTGCAGGCGTAATGGCACTGTGATGAAAAAAAATTTTGCTTATTCATAAAAATACAGCACATTTTCTTTCTGGTGGTGCTTAAGAGCTGTCTTTTTTTTTTTTATTATTATTATGATATGACAAGAGACTGCTTGGTTTATTTCTCATATGAAGCCTGGAGTGCAACACAACACAAACTGGTTCCAGTACTAAGCTGCTGCTGCTGCCAGATCTTGTTATCTTTCTGTAGCAAGAAAAGCAACCACTGCAGAGGTTTAAGATGAAGTAGAGAAAGAGCTGCGTTTTTATAGAACCAGCTACACCAGCTTCATACTGGGTGAAAACTCCCATTATCTTCTACCCAAAGTGCTTTACTTGTTAGAACTGGGAAAATCTGTCGCAGTGTAAAGAGAATTGTGATGCAGGCACCTGCACTCAGGACGCAACGCCTCGGAAAAGCCTCCACATAGCTGAAGTGGAAGGACAATGATGCATGGATCTAAAACATTTTACAAATAAAAAATCTGTACAGTTTAGGCATGGCATTGTAGAGTCACGTTTCACTGCAGTTACAGTATTTTAGACTCTCTGCCAGATTTGCACATCTAGAGGCAGCAGATTCAAACTCAATCAGATCGAATGGAGAGAGTCGCTTTAACATAGATTTACTTAGATCCAAAGAAATCCTTTTTAGATCTGGTTATATGTTGCGTTAGAAGGTCGCCTGGTTATATGGTTTGCTTCGTTCAGAGGGTCTGGAGCCTCAGCTATTGAGAAATGATTGCTTCCTGGAGGAATACTTTTTTTACATCTACCCTTCTTCCCAGTCAGATCTGACCAGCTTTTCTCTCTCTGCTGAAGCAAAGCATCTCCATGAACGGGAACGGCGTGTTCAAGACAACGTACATCGACTGACTCACACCTCTCACTTGGTTTTTTTTTTTACTGAAAAAGTTTGGGCTTCATCTCCTGGAAACCACTCTTCTTTCTTTCTGCCTCTCTTCCATCAAAGCCAGATTTCATCAGTATCCTCTAACAAACCTTCACAGAACAGACGCATTTATGCTGGGCTTAAATTACACTCTGTTATTTTGTTAACTAATTTTTATGGATTTTTTTTACAGGTTTTGAGCAAAAACAATAATAATAAAAAATAAAAACAGAAAATCAAGCATCATGTTCTTTCCTCTCCCCATGTATTCTTGGAGTACATGTCTGACAGTGTCACAGAGAGAGTGGGATTTTCTTCCACAGCGGAAAAGCTGGGGTAGCAGTGTCTAGCACTGTAGCAGCTTTGCTGGAAAGTCCAGGCGTCATAACACCAGTCCTCCACATCCATATCCTCGTAAAGCTTCTCCAGACTGAGGAATGAAATATAAAAAGGTCCCCTACAGCTCTGATTGCTGACAAAATAATTAGAGTCTGAATTTCTCCATCTTTCATAAACTACAGTATGCATGTCATATATTTCCAAGCTCCCTGCCTGCATCCATTAAAAGTGAAAATGTCCCCTATATAACTCTCCTCTTCATACAAAATATGATCTGATTGGATTCCTATTGTGAATATATCATATACTCTGAAAATATATTGTATGAACAATAAATATCCAGTGTCTGATCACCTAGCTGAATGTCATTCGTTTTGTTGTTTTTAAAGAAAAGCACATAATCGCCAACTTGTCTAAAATAATGCACTCCTGCTTTTGCTCCACGACACCAACAGTGCAACATTATGTCATACAATTGTCAAGTCACACACTAGCAAAACACACACACACACACCCCACACACACACACGCATACTGACACTCACAGTGAACGCTCAGGCTGGACAGAACTACACGAGCGAGGCATTTCCCCTGAGGAGTGAGGGGGAAAAATGAATCGTGTGGGAAACGAGCGGTGATGTTGTGACACTCATTACACAGCAGCAGCAGCAGCAGCGGGGAACTCCCATTCCTCCAGCATCCAGACAGCCTCCTGCGTGGCGTTAAAGGCAATATTGCATGTGATTTAAATAAGGCAAAAACTAATAGAAAACATAGAAAAAAATCTGAAAATAATCCAGGAAATGGAACTGTAAAATGCTAATCGTAGGTGAAATGGAAAGCTCCTTGAGGAGAGGCGATTTTTTTTACATGTCGGTCCCTCTGGACGGAGGGCGGGTGAGGTCTGACGGGACACGATGCGATGTTGGGTCATAGCACTGTGCTTTCAGACTCCTCCTCTGAGTCTGCTTTGCTTTTTGGCGACAGCGGAAGCGCCTCTGAGTTTCTGAAGGGGGAGATGTGCGTCAAGTCGAAGATGCTGTCCAGCTCCATGTTGATGATGGGAATGTCCAAGTTGCAGAGGGAATCTGGCAGAGCAGACAGAGGAGACAATAATGAGCAGGGAAATATAGTCTAAAAATGCTCATTTAGTTAGACATAAACAGGCAGACTGAAGCGGATCGTCCTGATCAATGTGAAAACACGATAAAAGGTCATCACAAGTGGAATGAATGACTGAAAGAATAAAGAAGCTCGGGAGGGATGCACCGTGACGTTACTATACGTAGAGCAACATGCGTCTATTAAATCAGGAAATTTGGTTTCTGCTTCCCCAACTCCGTCTCATAAAGTGAAAATATTAGATAAGAAATTTCTTAAAAAACATTTACTGTCCAGTAAATAAACTGTGTGACTGATCAGAGCGCAGTTTACGGCTTGGCATGGAGTCGATAAGAAGAAGAAGAAGCTTTTACAGCGGCATTCGTCTTGTCTGTGTTGTTAGTTTTGGGACTCCACAGCTTCTGCATGGAGGGGAAAGCATGGATCTTGTGTGACCTTTGACCTCAATTCTAGCATTGAAGAAATCCAGCCGCCCAGCGCATGCTGCTGATTCTGATTGGTCTAATTTATCTTTTAAAGAGACATTTTCACAGATGAAATTTGAAAAAATGAAGATCCACTAATTACCATTAACCAGATTTCTGCATTCATCTCAATTTAGTTTTAAATATCAGATCCGATTCTTTGCCTTTCCAACGGACTTCAGAGAAGTAGCCAGTCCTTTTCCTACCACAAATTTTCCTTCCAATAAACTTTCCAGGAATACATCTGGATCCAGCGTTCTGTGAAGTGCTAGTTTTTTTAGCATTTGCCTTTGTGGTTTACCCTCCTGATGTAGAATGTACATTTCTTAATTAAAAATATTTTCATCCAGTATAATCACATTCTTTAATTTTTAGAGAAACTGAACTGGTTTTTTATTAGTCGTAGGTTAAGTAAATAAGTTGTAAATGTCAGAAATAAATGTCTGAAATATGCCACTATGTGTTATAAGTCCAATTTTACATTTTGAATTCACATACATATGAATTAATTTCACTGTCAAATGGAAATATTTAGATATTTTTACCAAAAATTATCATGATTTCAAGCTTCGTCCTCATTTCACAAATAAAATACTTCTGTATTATCTGAGAATGTATCCCTGCAGCAAGTGACCACAGCTCGGTTAGTTTAATTATTATCTACATCAGAGACACGACCAAAAACCACAAGATCAGAGTCGTCTGCAGCGATGCTGCACATCAATCTGAAGGAAATTGTTGCTTTGCTGTGTCTTGTATGACATTCGCAGAGTAACGACTAGAAACCGCCACAGACAGGAAGTGTGTTTAAAGGGCCGTGATGCGTGATAACAGTGTAGTGAGGGTCAGGAGGTCGGCGGGGGCTGTGAATGTGGAGACTGTGAGATGGGAAGGTGCAGGATTCCTATTGGTGGACATGCACCACTCTCAGCCTCCATGCAAACGCCAACAAAATGTGTTTAATGTTAGCAGCTGGATATACAAAGGGAAAGCAGCATCTGCCACTTTTAATGGCACCTCTGGTGAAGATATTGAAAGATATGCAGTGATGTAATGCCCCACTGAAAGTCATTTCTTTAATTTCCAATATATAGGAATAATTGTTCTTCTGAAACATTCTATAGCAGACTAACCTCACAGGTTTGCAGCAAAGTGATGAATATTTGATCTTTCTTCTGAGCTATATCTGTCTAGAATAGGGTAAGGATGTCCAAAGTGTGGCTCAAGAGCAGTTTTCTGGCATTTAGAATAACTTTATGTGGCCACAGAGTGCAAAACAAATGATGGTGATTGTACAAATTAAATTTGGTCAGACAATGCTTTTCCTTGAAAAAGAAATGCATGTAATAATTTTTATGGAAATTTGATGATCCCAGAATTCCACGTCCTGCTGCAGTTCTCTAATAGTGGTTCTTAACATCCTCCTTGTTAAGTTTAAAGTTGTTTAAACTTAGATAACTGAATTTTTTAAGTTTAAAACAATTAAGTTGTCTAAAACTTAATTATAAACAATCTTAGGTGAGAAGCTATTTTAACATATTTTTGGCTCATTTTAAAGGGAAGTTTGTTTGTCTTTCCCATTTTGAAAAGTGGGAAGCAAGACTGTCATCGATTACCAAAAGTTATCAAAAGTAAAAGTTTCTAGAAAACCTGAAAGAGTAAAACAAGAAGTGTCAAACTAGTGATTGGGAGGAAGAAAAGAAAACATCCATGAACATTTCTCCCCCTTAAATAAACGTGTTTCGACTGAATGTTTCCTTTTGAATTCTTTACTCGTTTTCAGCAGGGGTGCCAATAGGTGTGGACAGCTCTGTAAAGGTGTAACACATAATAAAAAAACTGAGTTGTGCAGCCGCAGAGCAGAGAAACCAAACCCAAAATCTGCTTCGTTTAGCAGCATTAACTTGTAAAAAGATCATCAGCGGCTCCATGTTCAGGTGAGATGGCAGAGGGAGGGATGAGACGGGAGGAGAAGAGGTTCTTCATCACAGGAAATCCTGCTTACCCTAATAACGCCCTCTGACACTTAGAATGATAGTGAACCTCGCCTCTCATACAGCTGAAATTCAAGACAACCAGAGCAGTCAGACAAGAAGCAAGAGTTAGATTTGAACAGGATGAAAATCTGCTGGAGATGAAACAAATAAAAACATGAACAGAACATCAAGTTCAACAGCGACCAGCGCAGAGACGCGATAAAACCAAGGCGAAGAAAAGTAGGTCAAGGGCTATATTATTATTAGACCTGGTTTTCTAACACTTGGATGTTTTTCCAACTTCTATTAAATATTTTAACATAAAGTGACAGTATAAAGTATAAAATTATATAAAATGTAAGTATTCTTGTTGTAAAGTGTCACACATAAACATTGAATAACTTTACAAATGTACTGCTTGAAAATATAACACTATTTAAAACAACTTTACAAATGAAAAGACGAGAGGATTGTTACTTGAAAGTGACAATGTGAGAGAGAAAGTCTCATTTCACTTTTAAAGTTGTTTTAACTAGTCATTTTAATTATAAAGGATTTTCCATTGAAAATCACACTTTGTGGTTTCATTTAGGAATGCGAAAACATCATTTAGAGAAAATACATGTTTTTCTATTTGAAAAAAAATGGTTCAATACTGTCAAAATGAAAGATTTCACTGTGATTCAACCTATGTTTGATTTTTTTTTAAATTAATTTTGTTGGTTGATACAGCAAGTTATAAGTGGTCATCTTTATTTATTTTATTTATTTATTCTGTATTTTACAATGTAGCTCACTTTGTTTAATTTCACTTATAAATACAATTTATATGTAGAAAAAGACTATGGTTAGACTTTGCTAGTTTAATGTAAAGCCTTGGACAGCCACTAGGAGTCAGACTCGAGCAGCAGACTTGAAGTCCAAAACAAAAGGAGCCAAAATCGCTCCAAGGAATCTTTACATCTTTTTATTTATAGAAAACCAGAACACTGGGGAGTCTAGTTCAGTTATTTAGCCAAGCAACACTGAGCATTAAGCCTGTTTAATCATTTGTTTATGTTCATCCGTTAGTGTGAAATTAATATGTGATTATATCCAATGAAATCTGCACTCTCTTTTACCACGAACAATATACATATTATATAAAGAGTCTAAAAATGTGCAATTGTGGCAATCCATCAGACTCAAATACATTTTGAAACGTGAGTCAAATTTGAAAATACAATAAAACAAGATTTAAGGTATACCAGCTAACTTTATGAGACTTTAAAACACAAACGTGTCATGTTGTTGCTCAGACGTCCAGTCACATTTGCTGCTACGTTACCTGTGGACATGCTTTCCCCAGGGGGTAAACCGTCCAGGAGACTGGATGAATGTTCCAGAGGCTGGGGACTCGTGCCGGGTGTGGAGGGGGGCTGTGGCGGAGGCAGGTTGGGCCTCTGGCGAGGAGGCTTAGGGGTTGGTCTGGGCTTGGTGAGCGTGCCTGCCAGCGAGGGCGGAGAAGACAGAGATGGGGTGGTTGCCGTATGGGACTGGATCGGGGAACCAATGGTGGCATAACCCTGTGGGTAGCTGAAGCCGTAAGGGGAGGGTGTGTTTGGAGGGGTGGGCGACAGACTGACTGGAGACGGTTGACCTGTCGACTGGTCTGACATGGCTCCTGTCTGGCAGTAAGGGCCTTTTGGTGGGATAGGGGCCAGCTTCTTTGCTGAAACAAACAAAAAAAAAAAAAGCAAGAAGAGAACCTGAGAAGTGTGCATGCCTGTCGCAGTGTAAAAAGATTCAAACAATAAATCATTTCCGAACTTTAATTTGACCTTTAAAATTAAAATGAACACAAGTTAATAATCTCTTAGAAAGAGAATGATCAAAAAATGAAAAAGCTGCTGTAATGTGATTCACAACGGGCGTTCACAACCTTATGCTAATTATTTGTTTTAGCAGTCAGTTCTAACATTTGGTCTTCTATGTTCACCCAAATACACTGAAACTGATAAAAACCAAAATAAAGGTAAGCTGTGCTGGTAGGATTCTCATCAATTTTAGTCTTTAGCTGAGCCATTTAAAAAATAAAATAAATAAATAAATAAAAGTTTAAAAAGAAGTTGTTTGAAAAAAGGCTCAGTCAGGGGAAGGGTTCAAAAAGTCCCAGTATTGCATAAACACAATGGCACAGTTAAAATATTCATCAATAATTAGCAACAGAAAAAACAGGACAGCATGTTACTAAAATGGGATTTGTGAAAAGACAAGACAGAAATTAATCAGGGAGAGAGCAGAGAGCATTTCATTGACAGAGCTTTGTTTGACAGGATGTGCATAAGACTGACATGACACTGTCATAAACATGATATACCATCTGTTATGAACATGAAGGATTCTTTATGAATGTCTATGACTCTTGTCATAAAGTGTCATTCGGTAAATAATGACACTTTTAATGCAAAGTTGCTCTAAAATTAGTTTTAGAAGTCCATTGAAAGTGCTAACTTTGCTATATTTTGGAAATAATATTTAATGCAAATTTGAGACTTTTAAAAGACTCTTTCATGTTCACAACAGGTGTTATGTCATGTTTATGACAGTGCCATGTCAGTCTTATGCACACCCCACCAAATAAAGTTATGCCCTTTTGACCCCAAACCTTTGAGTGTCTGCAAGAAAGCCGAAGAATCTAAGGGCCACTACGCAGACATTTATCCATAGATTGTATCTGAGGGTATTCGATTCAGGCAGAAAGTTTTGAAAGCGAATGTCGTTCATGGCGCATGATCAGGTCAGTCTCACCTCTCCTCAGACTGTGCGGGCTGTGCTCAGAGTGCTGTGACTGTCCACTAGGGGTCACTACTCCTTGGAGTCCCTTCTGTCCGATCACCGGAGACAGCTCTTTGTTTTTCAGAGTGCTACAGGAAAAAAGCAGGACAAAAAAAAACAGAGAGGTGTTGCATCAAATTTTTATTATCAGCCATAATAAGCAGAGCAATGTGAGAAGAACCGCAGGTTAATGTCAGAGTGACCACTTGTTGCACAGGCAGTGTGGAAATCTCCAATGAACTCTGGTGGCTTAATGGATTTTCCCTACTTTTACAGAGGAGTGCAGGCAGAATGCCAATGTTTGCAGAACCTGAAGGTCGGAGTGCAACCAGTTAACATTCTCCCTGGATATAACGATAGTTGCAGCTCTGATAATTGCAGCTGAGAATGAAATCTTGGGTGAAACAACGTTTGTGTTTTCTCTAATGTCAAACTGAATCACGACCTCCCTGACTAATATCTCCTCATCTGGCGTTTCCTCTGCGTTCACACTGACGTTATGATCCGACTGGACCTACTGGGCTCACTGGTCGATGACTCATGATCACCCACTGTTGAGATCGTATTCAATGGGAGCTTTGAAATCCCTTTGTTGCCTGGCAACCGTCTCCTGAATATCCAGGCAACATGGATGGTTATGAAATTTCCAAACATGGCAGTTGCATAAAAGATGAAGGTGGATATAGATTGAGAAAAAAAAGCTTCAACAAGGTTCACACTCATTTTTATAACCTCTTAGGTGCCACGATGACTCTGGTGTCCTCATGAACTCATTGCCTGACATGGAAGTGTTCAACATTTGTCTCCGAATTCTGTACATTTATTGCTCATTTTAGAAGAATTGTCCACTTTTAGCCCATTTTTAAGGAAAAATACTAAAGTTCACCACAAACTGCTGATATTTTAAACAAATACTCATAATAAACATGACGAAACAAAAAAAAGAAAGAAAAAATAAATGAAGGAAATATGATTTAACAATGGAAGTACTATCGTAAAAGTCTGCAAATATACATATTTTTAATGCTGTTTGTTTTGTTTTCCATACTTATGCAGACACGACATCAAACGCAAACCGTTCTGCTCCGTGTTTTCCAGCCATGAAGTAACTCTGCCTTCATGACTGAAGGCAGAGTTACTGCATTCACATACATGAATGAAACTAAACAGAGGGGAGCTGGAGAGGGTCTCCTACTCACACCCTCCTCTGACCTCACCCCCGTTCCCCTTTGGCTCTGTGGTTTTTGTGAATTGTGTTGGAAGTCGGAGCGAGTTGGATCTCCATTTACCTCTTCAGCTTGGCTCCTTTCTCCCGGCTACAGGCAGATGCTGCCCATGGAGGGGGAGCAGAAAGAGGGGTGATGGGAGGTTTGGGGGAGCCCAGGAACAGGTCGTGACGGGTAAGAACGAGCGGGGGTTTGATGTAAAGGGTGGAGCCGTTCGTTTCGGACAGGGTCGCATGCATAGTGTCGGGCAGGGAGGCCCGTTTGGGCAGGTGCAGAGAGTTAGGTTTGGGGTTGGAGTTGACGTCAAGCTGCTGGGGGGACGGACACGGGGAGAAGGGGAGCGGGGGAGGGCTGCATCCGGCTAGGCGTGGTGGAGGGGACGGGCCGGGGGGCACGACGGACTCAGGAGTGGGAGCGGCGGGACGCATACTCTGCAGTGCTCGGGTGTAGCTATAGTGGTGAGGGAACGAGTTGGAGGAGCAAGAGGAGGAAGAGGAGGAACAGAAGGAGGCATAAGGGGGAGGCGGTCGCTCCTCCTCAGGGGAGGGATAGACGTAACAGGAGTCGGACCAGTTGGAAGAAGCATCGTCTGAGCTGCAATGATAAGAATATCAGCGTTTCATGGGGAACTGAGCCGTTGATGTCAATTGAATTATTTGAACTTCAGGAGAGAAAGAGTCGTTATCGAAGTTTGTTTGATTAACAGGGCGGAAATCAGAAAAGGTGTTTGAAGAGGAAGATGGGAAACAAATAGATGAAACAGGAATTTATGTGTTACTGAGACTAAAACTGAAACAAAAAGGGAAGTTTATAAAGTATTCACACCCCTTCATCTTTTTCACATTGTGTCACGTTTCAGGCACAAAACTTCAATTTATTTCAATGGGTTTCCATTTCATGGAGAAATAAAAATTGGTGCATGAGTGAGGAAGTGGAAGGAAATCGGCAAGTGGTTCGTATCAATAAAAACCTTAAAAGTTTATTTGTATTTGAGGTAACTGTTACTGGAGAAACTTGTGCAGGTTTGTTGTTGCCAAACTTCTCAAGTTCAGTCAGATTAAATTGAGAGCAACTCTCAATCACAGCTGTGTTTAGGTCTGGACTTTGACTAGGCCATCTAACTCTTAGCCATTCCATTGTGGTTCTCGCTGAGTGTTTGGGGGTTTTGAACTTGTTTTCTTCCAGGATTGTTTTCAATGATCTCTGAATCTCCTCCAGAATGCAAGCAAGCCAAATGCTGCCACCACCATGTTTCATCATGTTTTCTTCCACATATGTTGCAAATAGGCCAAAATGTCCTCAGAACAGCGAGATCTATACTGAGGAATACACACATCTACTGAACAGCTGATTTCTGAAGGTAAGTTGTTCTACTGTATTTTACTTAGGAGAATCAAAGAAAAGGGGGCTGTATAAAATGAACGCCATACTTTACAGATTATTTGTAGAAAGGCATTCATTTAGTTTTACATCAGTTATGCACTAGTGTGTGTTGTCTGTCACATTAAATACAAATATTGATGTTTGTGGATGAAACCTGACAAAAGAGAAATAGTTCATGGCATGGGAAAACTTACATAGCACCGCAAATACTTTTATCTTCACCAGAAATGAACTGTTATCCACTTTAATCAACATTAAAGTTGAACATTAAATTTACAGAGGAGTGAAACATGCAAGTTTCACTCCAATCATCATCTTCCTAAAGCAATGGGCAAAATCACTTTTGGAAAAAAAAAAAAACTTATTTTAGGAAGGTGATGACATGCAGTTTATCACTCTGGGAAAAAATTAAGGACTCTAACAGCTTAGAAAAAATGGCAGACCAAAGAAAAAGACAGAAAATGTAAAACACTTGATCAGAGGTTGAATCTGAGGTTCATTCGGGGGTGAGAGGATGAATGACAGCACAAACAAACTGTAGGTTTAGTTTCTGGTTTCTGCTGTGCTGGACGGGAGCCTTGTGTGACGAAGAGGGGAAACCAGCATTGTGGGAGGCCTGTGGGGGACAGGAGGGCGAGGCACCGCGGCCTTACCTGGCTCGGTCGCTGCTAGTGGGAGGAGGGGTCGGGGACGGGGACACATAGAAATCCCCAGGCTGCTCGGGGATGGGAGCGTCAGCGGGCGGGGTAGACGGGTGCACGTTTGGCGGTGTTGAGGATGTTTTACGCGCCGATGACGGACCCCTGCGTGACACCCAAGAAGTGTCCATCACCCTGACACCCATGCTGCAGTGGGACAAAGATGCACAGCCAATCATATGATAGGAGGGTTTGGGCTGGAGGAGGGAACGTGTTTAAGGTTTCCAGAATGTGAATTCAGCTTTTGTCCTGACACTGAACAGCTGATTCCAACACTGAGTCAACATTAGTGAAATTATTACTTCATTTTATTCTGCAGATTCTCCTGAAAAGCAAAGGAGGTGCCTCGTTCTGAGTGTTTTATCGCCTTCAAAATGCTAGAAATATTATTAGATGGCAAAATGTGTTTTTAAAAACTCCATCCAGTGACGGTTTGCTTTCTATAATAAAAAAAAAAGTGTAATTTGACAATACAAACACTACTGAAAGGCAGAGAATTGGGTTGATGACATCACAATTATGTGACTTTTAAAGATTTTTAGTTTAGGATTTCCGCCATGTTTGATCCAGAGTTTGACACTGACGAACCCCAAACTACGACCAAACTGAGGATCGTGGTAATGATGAAAATGACTGACTTTAAATGGGATTGTTTAAGTTGCTGAGCTGAGCGCGTTTGCTTGGGCTAATTTGTAGGATCAGGCATCTAATAAGTGAGTCTGCTTGTTCAAGCAGACTCACTTAAACCTTGTTTCTGCAGGAAATTTGTCAGGACTTAAGAATCCTTGTACTGCTGATTTTTGTACTTGGCACAAAATGATTGCTAAAGATCTTTGATAATGAAATCTTGTCATTCCAGTCTGCAAAATCTTCCTGAAGGAGGAGGAGTTTGATTCAAATAATGTGACTAAACAGCAAAAACACAAAGCAGCCAATGAAAACACTCAAAAGAACTCTGACTTGTGGCTTTATCCATTATTTGACGATACCAGAGGCAAGTAAGTGTAGAAAACTGTTACCGGCAGGAAAGATTTGATCTTAATTAGAGAATTAATAGCAAAACTGCAAAACAAAGACAAAAAAGTGACAAGTTGTTCTACAGATAAAGTGTATGTGAAGTAAGTTTAATTGAATTTACAGAACAACTTTAAGATAAGGAGAACAAAAGTCAGTGTTTCCAGCTGAAATAGTCTTCAAACCTGAACATCTCTGTTCAGGGTGACTGAAGGGATGCATTTATGTAACCATGGAAAACAAAATCTGCTCCATTAGCAGTCGAATGTGTTGCTTTAGACACACCTGAATAGCAGAACAAATTATCAATGGCTGTCAGCTCCTTTAAATGTGCAGCTACGACAAACATGATGGACGTGACGGGACCGAGAGACGTAAACGAAGTCTTACTTTACCTTTGGATCTTCCTTATGCTGCAGTGTTAAAACAGAAACAAGAACTGTGAGGACATTAACAAAAACCATCACACACACAAAATAAGAAAAGTTTTGACTGTTGTCTTTTGCGACACGTAAAACCTTGAGGGGCAGAAACGAGGGGCAGAAACGAAGCAGCAGTCGAGAGGATTAGAAAAACGAGCCGGGAAAAAAAGAGACTTAAAGAGCAACGACAGTCACGCTGCGTGTAAAATATGCACTACTTTCAGTGTTTCAATGACATCAAGTCCAGGGAGAAAATTACTGCTCTATTTCACTCTAATTAGGACAGCGTTTCCCTGATGGATACACCATAATTTCCCCCCAAAATGAAAGGCTTTCTGCAGCTCCTAATACAGTTTCTCAAGTTTTGTTTTTCTATGTAGGTCTGGTTGGTCACTCAAAGGTTTGTCTTTGCTTGTGCTTTTTCAACATTTAAGAAGCATTTCTCTTCACAGGATGTTGTTGTAGCGCTAAGGGTTTTATAACAATGCACCTTAAGGAGAATAGTAATAAAGTTTTTCTATGCTGTTCTATTAAATAACTGCAAAATAACAGGTAAAATAACTTCCCTTAATCAACAATATTGTGATTTATTTTTTCTTTGGCTGCTTTTCAAGCCCACCTGAAGTCCTTCTACATCACGTTGTGTGGTGAGAAGTTATCTAAACCATTCGAAAGTCTCAGGTGTTTGCAGTTTTAAGCTATTTGTGGTGGGTTGTGGTTTCTAACCCTCACGAATAAAAAGGAGTCTGCTTTATACAGTACCTTGCTACTGCAACGTCTCCAGTTTGTCGCCTTACGTCCACAAGCGTCAATGCATTGTACATGTGATCAGCAATTTCAAAATTGTAAAATAGAGGGTAAATTATACATTTTCAAAAGAAAATGACTCGGTAGAAAAGTTAAAGCAGGGTTAGATAATATAACAATACAACACATGCCAAACTACAAACACACATCATATTTTTCTGAATCACTGAAAACCATTAAAATCCTAACAAGTCATATTGAAGCCTGTGGCCAAATGTCGCAGCCACAAGGCATGCGTCTGCCTCGTATCGCGTTTCTTTAGAAGCCTCATTCTGGTTTTTGATGAGTGTTTTCTCTTTTTTTTTCACTGGAAGCAGAGCTCCCTCCATTGATCAGTCCAGGTTTAATTAGCTCGGCTGCTTGCGGTCCCTGGGCTGCAGAGCTCATCCTCCTCGCTGGGCCCCGATAAGACAGCGGGTGTAAGGAAGAGGTAGAGGGAAAAAAGCAGTGAAAGAGAAAGAAAGCGACTGGCTGGTTTTCCACTAATCCTCCTCCTCGGCTCCCGGATTGTGGGAATGGTTATTTCACAGACTAAACTTCAGCCCCCAAACTGTATGTTAACGGGACGAAGGCTTGAGGGCAGCCGATGCAGGATGAGTCGTTTCTGTCCACCTCGGGGCAAAGCATCTTATTTACTGAGGTCATGTCGAAATCACAGGAAAACTTTCTTATTGGAGACAGGCATGAGAAATAAACTTTGTCTCCTTTTTGTCAGATTTTTGAGTAAGAATGTGAAATCTTGGATGATTCAGAGGCAGATAAAGGCCTAACAACATCCAAAGTAGGGTTTCATTCATTAAGGCCAGCTTTGCAACATTTTCTCTAGGTTCATTTATGTTTTAAAGCCTCATTATCTGTGATCAAAAGCTGCAGGCTTGATATTGAAACCTTTAAGCTTAGTTAAAACTTTAAATCCTGTACTAAAGCTGCTCTGCCTCATTCTTTTACAACTGCAACAATTACCGCCAACTCCTTTATTCCCCCGCCTTCACTACAAAGTAATAAACTGCTTCACAGGTTAGAAATGTTCCCAGTACACTTTTCTTTTTAATAAAACCCAAACAAACAATTTTGTTTGGGTTTTTCTATGTAGGGTGCAAACACCCACTGAGGAATAAAACGTCAAAATGCCTCAACACATGACTGATAATGTCATGCAACAGATCGAAGTGCACAAATGTACGGAACCAGACATGTATCTAAAATGTGGTGTTGTAATGGACAACCATTAATTTGAAGAGGCAGATAACAATTTAGCAAGAAAGCTCAATGAAAAACACAGAGCTGTATAGATAGAACTGCCTCCAACAAGTAAAATATCTTCATATGATTCATTTAAATAACTGGGTCTTATCAAGTCAGTTATTAACTGGGTACGTTTGTTTGGGAGATACGGGCTCAGAAAAGCTCTGCAGGCAGATTTTAAACATGCAAATCTTTTTATGCTGAATCGATGGGGGGTAAAAAATCTAACTTTTTGGAAACAAGGAGGTGGTAGCATCATGCTATGGAAATGCTTGGCTTCAGCAGAGACGTGAAAGGTGATGGTGGGAAGCTGAGTGAAGCTAAAACTAGCAAACCTGGAAGAGAAACTGTCAGAATCCCCAACAGACTGGATCAAAAGTATGGTGGAATGTTTTAGATCAAGGCTTATTCATGTGGTAGAAAGGCCTAGTCAAAGTCCAGACTAGGCCATTAGTCTGTGAGACTAACCATGCAAGAGTTTGCTGGTTTTATTAGTAAAAAACATAATTCTGTACCGCTATAGATTTATTTTTCTTGGTTTATCCCATGAAAGTGTTTGACTGCAGGGTGATAAAGTGTTAAAAAGTCGAAGAGGCATAATTACTAACAAGCTCCTCTCACATTCAGCTGAAAGTTCAGCTGATTTGACCCGTACCCGTCTTTCTTGTAGAACTCCAGCATCATGTTGTCCGTGGCGACGCTCAGCGGCCGTCGGCTCTGATCGTTCTGCCTACGGTCCACCTGATCCATGTCTGGAGACGGCATCAGGCTGTAGTTGGCGTTGTGGTTGGTGTGGACTGGGCTGCCGTAGTTCCCAGTGACATTAAACTCAATTTCTAAGAGAAATAAAATAAACAAAGAAAGAAAAAAAAAATCAAAGATTAAACTTAGCAAGATTTAAGTTTTTGTAAAAAACAAAAAAAATGAGACTGCGCTTCATCGTCTGTCGGTTCTTTTCTTCTGACCTCCGGGGAAGAACCAGTCAGCGTGCTGGATGATGGGCTCGATGATGCCGACAATCTGAAGGGAGACGGTCGTCATCATCTCTGTAATGTTGCTGCAGCACACAGACAGGAAACACGTGTACAGCTACACTAGGGCAAAAAATATTTTATGCAACAACACACTTACAAAATCCCAGGAAAAAAATATTTACATAACTGAAAGATAAGAATATTTCAGAGCGATCCTGTTACATATTACATAAGAACTGCTGCTTAAAGTGGATCGTGATCTACCCCAAAATCAGTGATCTCTACTTCTGGTGTGATTATGGCTTCGCTGGCGTCTCACCCTTCATCGTGAGTCCACAGCAGATTGGGACCGAGGACGATGGCGATATTTCCAGGAGTCATTTTGTTCACATCCTGGTCTTCAGTCAGCTTGGAGAGAAACTTGATCAAATACCTGTCAGTAGAAGGGGGAAAGCATGAGTTTTTCTCCAGCAGTCAGCAGAAATCTGACCACTCATCTGACAATGAGTTGCCCTCGATAGACTAAATATTTAGAGAAAACGCTGTGAATAGGAAAATCTTGAATCAGTCAGAATCTCATTGCTCATTCCTGTTGCAAAATCTGCCTTGACTGACACAATGAAGATGAAACAAACCCACATGTTGTATTTTTTAAAATAAAAAGTCAGTGGCTATTGTTTGGAGAAATATGCAGAATGTTTCCACACTTCTCTGAATGATGTTTTGATGTTATTTCATCAAAAAAGTCGCACATTTCCAGTCAGAAGAACTGATTATTTTTAAACTCAACTGCCAATGCCAGAGAATAACTACATTGTTGTGTTGTTAGAAACTGAGCTTAATTCAAACGAACCATCCAGCGGCTCATCATTCTGAGAAACAGTTTTCTGACAGATCTGCCGTCAGGAGCGCTGCCTGGAAAATTGTCCTATTTGTGAGATTTCAAAACGACCCTGAGAAGAGCTGCGGCTCCACGCTGCTCCGCCTGGCTCTCATCCTCTTTCTCCTCTCAACGTTCTCATCACGGCTTACATCTTTTGTCTTTTGATCGCAAGACAAACCCCTGCGAGTTGTTCATGAGACAGCCGCTGGAGATGTTTCCCTCAGGATTAAAAGCAACGATTAACACCGAAATATGACAGGAACTGAAATAGTTATTTTAAAAAGCCATATTCCATCTTCTAGATTTACCTGTGAATTAACTAAACCTGATGAACTCATGATCAGATGTTTTTCCATTATTGCGTTTCAATATTTTGCCTAAACATACAATTAATACTTGTATCAGAAAAGGGATTAAAAACACAGCAGCTGCATGCATCCCTCTGCTCTCTTGTTACATCTTACACTGAAAATCCTTTTCTTTATTTTTGTACTTGTGCTGCAGTAATTACCTACAGGTACAATCACAAAATGAAGGAAGAGAACTTCAAAATTTGACTCACTTGAAGTTGTTGTTGTTGGCACACGGCAGCTTCTCACAGGCACCCAGCAGAGCCTGCAGCCTCTTCTCCTGGTCCTGGATGCTGCGGAACAAAAGAAACTCTGCCAGTTATTTGCACGTAGATATTAGAAAACATGTTTTGAGTTTGTTATTCTGTGAAGATACACACTTGGAGGCCTGGATCCAGTCATTGTAGAGCTCAAAGGTCATTAATGGCTCGGGGAGTTCACGCAGGTACGACTTTAAAGCACCTGAAGAGAGAATAAAACCACAATGTGAATGCATCGCATGCATTTAGCGTAATCATGTATGCATGCGAGCATAATATGCGCATGAGGAAAACGTATTTATCGCATAACATTACAGGGTCTCGTAAAGTATTATTCCACGTTGCAGTTTTTATGCTTTTATACTCTATGTATCAAAATGTTCAAATTATTTTATACTCATAAGTGAAATATGATCCATGCTGAGCTCACAGCAAACATGTGGATCCTGGTGTAAAGACAGTAAAATTAAAATTTCTGTTTAAACATCTTTAGAAAGAATGGATATAAGTTTCAGTCTCCAAATATGCAAAGCTGGACACGCTATTGAATCAGAAAGCACAATAATGCATGGTAAATTATGACTACATGTGAAATGGCGTGAATATTTGTGCATGTCCATTTAATGTCTAACTCTGCTCAAACTAAGCTCCAACGTTGCAATGAAAAGAGTTTGTTTACATTAACATAATCAACTCTGAAGCTGTTTCTCCCTTTTTTATGATCATCACATCTAAACAAAGCAGAGGAAACTGAGAGAGAGAAAGCATTATTATACTTTTATCATTTAAGTGTCTTTTTGATATGCGATTTGCAACCTCCACGGCTTCTCGTTTCAGCTCCTTTTCCATATTTTTTTGCTTTTCTTTTTTTTTTCTTTTTGCCATTTTCCATTTCAATGTCTCTCTGAAGAGACAAAATGAGCCCCATTATCTGTATTTTATAAACGTTCTTTCACTCGCATGATTTTAACCTCAAACATAATTATGCTGAGGAGAAAATGAGCCTCCGTTTCTACAAATCTCTGATGGATTAATGACATTTTTCTGCTGATGTGAGATAATGGTAAAAAAAAAAAAAAATGGTGGCTGACGGTGATCATGGTGTGACAAGAAGGAAACATTAATGAGAATGAAAACTTTTTTTTTCCATTAGAAATGTGTCATGGATACAAACACATCTCCTCGATACAAAACAACTTTATTACTGAAGAAGATTTAGACAGCACATCTTTGCTACTTTTCATTTGAATGTTTTCCTGGTATTTCAGGCCCTCTATTGGTCATAAGTCAGTGTGAATGTTAGTTATTAATTCAGGGGGCTTTAAGAACGCATTTGAGTTGTTCTAATTCCTGGGTAAAAAGATGATGCAACCACACTGAATTTTGAAAACAAGAGTTTCAAATTTCTTGAAAATAAGTCAATATTATATGACTATTTATAATATAATTCAATATATTATGTTATATTATATTATATAATAAATAGTATAGTATATATTAGGTTATTATGTTACATATACAGTACATATACTTTATATCCACATATATTTTATAAATTAAAATAAAATATAATTGACAAGGGGACAAGGCTGTTAGGAAATAGATGGATGGATAATAGGCATGTTCATAGTTATGTTGGTGCAACAAGTGTTAAGTTTTGTAATCTTGTCCTAATACCTGCAGACTGTGTTCAGCAACAGTAAACCTATTAAAGCAACAGAAAACACACGGTCCCACAGTGGCTGAGAGCAGGTATCGACTGACTGGGTTCTTTTCCAGCTCATCTTTTCCTTCTCTCTGCTTTGCTGTTGTCATTTCCCAAAGGTATGAGTACGACTGATGACAAACATCAGGACATCCCTCACGGGGAAACGGCTGCATGTACCTTTAAGTCTGCTCAGCTGTGTCTAAATTCAACCGATGCTGTATGTTGTTGCTGCTACAAAGAAAACGAGTTTCTGATGAATGCACAGAAAATCTGTTTTCCTTTCCAACAAAGACAAAAAGAGCCTAATTCTCCTTATGAACTGACTGGAAATGCTTTTGCACAGACCTCACTTTTATTTCCAAATGGGTTATGTTATAAGAAAGTGACTTTTGTAAAAACTGTATTTCTTTAGTCATCACTCTTAGTGAAGCATCACTAAGAAGGTATATAAGCAGTGGCGGAGCCAGAGGGGTGGCCGGGGTGGCACTTGCCACCCCCAACAGACCCCTGGCCACCCCTAGTGCCACCCCACTGGAAATTGTAATTTTAAAATTTAATACTTATGAGATCGGCAAAGATTTGCCAGGAAAACTGTAATTTCCGACTGTCCCTGAAGGCAGCCCGATGCCCGACGCTGTTCATTGGTTAAACTGACATGTGGGTCCTGCTTGATCCAAAACACATCCTCGGCTTTAGAGTTACACCGTCGAGGAGTTTTGCAGGTATTTACATTTTACCGCTCAGCGGTAACCGCTGTTACCTTCCTAATGAGAGGCGGCTCTTGTCATACATTTCTAAAAAGAAAAGAAAATGGTTGTGCACCGCTGCATAGTGCCTCGTTTATTGTATTAGCCATGTTAGTGCTGGTTGATGGTGTTTTAGACAGATTCTTTTAACATGTTTTAGTGCACATGCTGCCCTCTAATGTTTTATATCTCCCAGCTCTTGCTTGAAATGTGTGTTTTAAGAATATGTGAAAAACCATTAAGTTTTATAATGACTGAAATGTAAGTAGGCTATGTCATATGAAAGCTTTGAATTATAACCTAACTAGTTATATTAATTAATTTTGAACGAAAGGAAACAAATATTTTTTCCTTTCGTTCCATGGAATGGTCCATTTGTATATGGACCCCTATGATAAAGCCTTGCTCACCCTTTGGCCACCCCTTGAAAAAAAAGTCTAGCTCTGCCACTGCTCAATACGGTAATTGACGTTACAGTAATTAACATAATGGCGCCTCAAATGATTAAGTGATGCTGTTGGAAAGGGTTAATAGTTTGGGTCATACAGAACTGATCTGATCGTTTCAATAGCAAGGAGCAGTAGGAAGACATTTCCCTGGAACTATAAAGAGCTCATTGTAGCTAGTGGTTCTCAAATGGGGGTACGCGTACCCCTGGGGGTACATGGAGGTACTGCAGGGGTACTGAAGCTTTTCAAAATATCTTTAAAAAATCAGTCGGCTCCTCATAATAAGTCTTGGGAAAAATTATTTTGTAAAAAGTTCAATAAAGTATAAATGTGTGTTCATGCACTGAATTTTATATTCAGTATTTAGTTTCAATATCCTATAAAATAAAACGGACCCAGCGCACTGTTACCATGACTACACTGTAACTATAGAGACGTGGCTAAAGCCTAGCAGCAATGCTGCTGAAAGTTCAGATAAAGTGAAAAAGGCAAAACCAGAGCCGACGAAGTACAGAACAAACATGGAAAAGTATGTTTTAATGGGATTTACGTCCACAATCTCTAACCCCCCGCACTGTGTTTTTTTTTTTTTTGCGGGGAGAAATTAGCCAACGCTAGCATGCAGCCGGCACACCTCCAGCGGCATCTCACCACAAAACATGGATGTCACGTTGGTAAGACACCGGAGTTCTTCAGGAGAAAACTTTCTGAGTTCAAGTCATCCAAAGCCACAATGCGAAAAGCCTCCACTACATCAGCCAAAGCAACGAGCAAAGACACGCCGTGTCTTTGCTCGTTGCTAAAGGTAAAAAACCGTTCACCATAGCGGAAGACCTGCTGCTGCCCGCTGCAGTTGAAACTATGCTGTACAAAAAATCAGCGATACATTAAAAACTCTGTCTAATGACACCGTTACTTACTCTTCAAACCGAATCAAATGTTCAATGCAAAGTGATTAAAGTGCAATCTTCTTTTTTTTTTTATCCGAAAAGATTAAAAAAAGAGGTGACGTTTATTGTTTTTTTTGTGAGCAAATCTTTATTTATAAAGTTAATTTATTTTGTAAACAAAATATAATTTATTTGTAATTAAGTTATAGATTTATTTCTGTGAACACTTTTTAGTTATTTTTGTATATATTTAATTTTGTACCATTACAGAGACCAATATAAATTAGCACTGTTTTGTATATTTCAGTTTTGACTGGTTTTATGCCTTCCTGGTGGTCACTGTGTTCTGTTTCTACATGTAATGTTTGCAATATGAATGTATTTGTCAGGTTCACTGATATAAGGTGTTCGGCTTTAATAAATCAGACAGTGATTTTACAGCACTGTTTTTTTCTCCCAAAAATGTTTTGCCCGTGTCAGGGGGTACTTGACTAAAAATATATTTTTAAGGGGGTACATCACTGAAAAAAGTTTGAGAACCACTGATCTATGACATGCGGTTCTAGATCAAAGAACACCTCAGGTTATGAATGCTTGTGTTTCAGAACACCAGTTCATATCCAACCAGCTCTTCAAAACTCAGCACAAGAATTTTCACGATGGCGGAAATGCTAGTCGGCTTGTTTTTACCTCTTGGTTTTGGAATCTGTTATGTTGTCACAACCGGAATAAGGAAATTATGTGATTTAGTATTTCATGGAAGAGAAGATGAAAAAGGTACCTCTCAGAAAAAGAACCGTCCATCTGGGTACGATATCTTCGACGATTTTCTCTTTAACCCATCCTCGACTGTGCAAACCTCCCTGGCTAGGGAGGTTTGCTTCACAAGTTATGATGATTTCAATTCTTTTCTTTTTAATCCATCTCTCCTCGACTGGGGAGGCTTGCTTCTCAGATAATATTTGTGATTCTCATCTTTCTGATCTGTCCCTGACTGAGAAGCAAAACTGAGGTTTGCTTCTCAGATTATGATGATTTTGATTCTTTTCTCTTCAATCCTTCCTTCACTGCAACACAAACCTACCCGGCTGGGGAGGTTTCTATTTATGATGAGTTTGACGCTTTTCTGTTTGGTCCATCGCCAACTGAGAAGCAAACCTTCCCGGCTGGGGAGGTTTCCTTCTCAGCTAATGACTTTTTTTATGCATATTTTTCTGAGCTATCCTCAACAGAGAAGCAAACCTCCCCCGCTGGGGAGGTTTTTCTCCAATAGAGATGAATTTGAGCCTCTGCGTTTCGATCCTTCCCCGGCTGGGGAGGTTTGCTCATCTGGAGACATTGTCATCAACTCTCTTTCTTTCAATCCTTCCCCTGCTGGGGAAGTTTTCTCTGAATCAGCGACTGAGAAGACAGAAGATCCAAGCTTGGTTCCGCAAAAGACATATGGTGACAGAATCAATGAAGAAATTGTAGTTTCTCTCCAAGATCTTTCTACAACAACGGATATCGTTCTTGAGAAAAGAGAAAATCTGCTTTTTCTCCTTAAACGGTACATATGGGAGCCATTGGCATTAATGTTATTTTATTTCTGTTTATTTGGAATTCCATATCTTATTGTTTATCATCGTGGGTTTTTTCTTTTTTCTTTCTTTGTTGTGTCCTTTCTTTTAATATAATGGTATTTGTGAATGAAAGTGTTATATTTTCTAATGATACAGAAAATGTTTTTTATATTCTTTAACAGTACATAGGGAAGCCATTGTTTTTCATATTATTTTATTTGGGTATATTTGGAACGCCCTTACTTATTGTTTACTATGAAGGTTTTTTCTTTTGTCTTTTTCTTTTTTCTGTCTTTTGTTATTATATTTCTTTGTAGATGAATTAATTACATTTTCTAAATTTACAGAAAATATGTTTTATCACCTAAAAGCTATATTTGGAAACCAGTGTTGTTAATATTATTTAGTTTGCACTCACATAGCAGTCTTTGGGTTATTTTGTACTATGGTGTTGTTTTCTTTTTTACTTTTTTTAGTTTTATTTCAAGAAAGTATCACTTACATAGTCCTAGGCATCTACATCACAAAATCAACTCCAACATTTGAAAGAAGGTGCACAAGTAAACCATTGCATTATAACAGTCAAATCAAAAATGCAACTACATTCCTTGAGAAAGATTATAAGGTAAAGAGTAAAGGAGAGTGTAAGAGAAGAAGTAGAGAAAACAAAACACAAAATTAATAAAGTTAGAAATGTAAACTGTCTGTATACTACATTGCCCTTCAGTAATCATCAGAGAAGATGGGCACTGATTCCTGATGCATTAGTTCACACTACACCATTTTTTGCCAATCTTAGAACGTCTAACACTATAACAAAACACTATAACAAAATCCAAATACACTACAATAAAATCCAAAATTTATTCTTAAAAAGCTATGTAAAAAGAAACGATGTTATAAGATCATAGGGTTTCTGAATCCAGCACAGAAAGTTTGACAAATGTTCGACTGATCGTACTCTATCAAAGAAATGAATCAATAATACTTGTTGCACCAATATAACTAATCAGTAAAAACATTTAGAAACACTGATTGTCTGGAAGACCTAACCTAAGAAAAGTATCATAACCTCTGTAATGTGAAGATCTAGGCTGTTTTAAATTTTATAACAACAGAGCACAAGAGTAGCTGTGTTACGTTATCACATGATTTTGAAATAAATGTTCCTTCTGGTTTAGATCCAATGCTGTTTGAAGGACTTTCACAGTCCCTCTATGTGTAAAATTTATATCATTTCAGTACTTATTTATTAATTTATTTTATCTTTTCTGATCATGAAATAATGTAAACGGGTGTGAAGCTAGCCTTTGACCACAGCAGCGTAAATTCGATCACCTTGTCAACAGCAGTGTTAGCTGCATAAAAATGGTTGGCTGACAAAATAAATTCACAATGTAACAAAATATGAACCGAATAATAAACACTGGAAACAATAACTGCATATCCATATTATGCAAAATGAATCAAATTTTTAATTAATGATCGCTGCATTTAATTATTTCATGATGCATTTGACGATTCACTCAAATATATAACTAAATAATTACTTCTTTGTAATCAAAACAACATGCCAGTGAATGTTTACTCTGGTAACGGAGCTTTTTAAACAATACTAGTTAATTAAAAATATAGATTTAAAGCTAAAACACAACGCTTAGCTTTTCTTATCCTTGATAAATGTGTTTTTCTCTGACAGCAGCATTGTGCAGCAGTCAGCTGCAGCATAAAAAAGCAGTACTGTCATTAAAAAAAAAATCAATAACAGCACCTTAATAGCCTGAAAGCTTTTCTTTCTTTTGTAGTCCATCATGGTTCTGATTTAAAAGCAGTGAAGTGACAGCACCACACAGAAAACTGATCTTTTCTTTTCTCCCAGCTGCAGCTCCGTCCGACGATGAAAACCGTCTGATGTTACTTACATGTGGATGTTATCAGACATTTTCTTTTCATTTCTGCATAAAAGCAAAGATTCTGAAATGGGTGGCTTGATTTGAAGATACGACGTTTCAACATGCAAAGGTTGAGTTTAGATGCAAATGTCAATGAAATAGGAACAATCTGTTCCTTTTTGGGAACAGTGAGTAAGATAAATTGGCCTAAGAAAACAGAATCTAGAATCTCCCAGAATAACAATTAGAAATTCACAAAGACCAAAAAGAGTATAGTGGAAATTTCACAAATACTTCAATTATGTTCATTTATTACGGACTGTTAGTGTCATTTGTCCTTCTGTAAGATTATATCACTGCAATAACAGATGAATATTGACGTTGCTCACTCACCTGCAATGGCGTGTGGGTCTGTGGAAAACTCCTGGACGTCCAGCACGCCGCAGTCCAGAGACGCCTTCAGCTTCTTCAGCTTGGAGGCCGAAGGAGCGATTCGGAACAAACCCTGAAAACACAGAACATCAAGCAGTGACAGCTGAAGACAGGTTGTAACATGTTTTATTATTGTTATTAGTGATGAGAGAATGAGTGAATTTTGTTGTCCTAAACTGCAGGGTTGGACAATTCCTCTTTAAGTCACCATAGCCCAGTGGTGTAAGCCTACAGCTTTGCATCCCCAAAATGCAAAAACTGGGTAATTTCTCACTGTAGATTTTTAATTAAACCAGCAGGGATTTTCTTTTTTTCCCAAGCCGTGAAACGTTTAAGTGTGAATCTCATTAGGAGTCCCTGCAGTAATTAAGACTGACTGAACGTACAATAATGCTTCACTTCCTGTAAACGCGCTTTGAAAGCATGCGGTGTGTTTACCTCCTCCTGCATGCCACACTCCAGCAGCATAGTGACACAGGCTTCAATAGGAAAGGCGATATCTCTCCCGCTGAGCGCCAAGTGCTCCTCTAATGGTTTCCCGTAGCATGGTTTTTCCACCCAGGTCTCTGTCAAACACACACACACACTGTTAGATAAACAGCACTGACTCTGCCTTAATGATGCCGCCGTGTTCCAGTGATTGCTACGGATCAGTATTTTTGGAAAATTTGAATGAATTTATTATCTCAAGCATTTTTCTGTATTTTCTATAACTATAGTAGCCATTTAACATTGGGACCTCAGTTGAACTCAGCATAAGTAAAACTTCCTTCAAAAGTTTCCATTAAGCATTACAAAATGTTTATGAATTTTTGCTTAAAACTCAGATTTCTCTCCAAGTCTAAACCGGCTTCTTTAATTTTATTATTATCCTCTCAAATGTGGCCTTTCTTGCAAGACTTAATGAATGAAAAGAAGCAAGAGTGGACAACATATACTTGTTGCTACTGACAGTTTAAAGATTTTTTTCTCAGTGTTTTTTTATTTATGCTTTGAAAATTAATCGCCACATTACTTTTCAAAATAAGACACTAAATCTAATGTAAATAGGATCATCTCTATTCTTGTAGAGATAACCAGGGGAACAAGAAGAGACGGATTTGATCCTTCAAAATGAAGCTTACTGATTCTCAAAATAAATGAGTCAGACTTATATATGTTTTAATAAGCGAGTTAGTGATTTTGTAGCACAAATCTTGTTTTTCTAGGCTTTTCTTACTGGAAAGTTACTCTCCAGTTTTCTAATTGGCTGCAGACAGAGCTTCCCTAGGTCTTTTTCTGGTTGTGTTTTATTGTCCCATTTTTAAATGACAACAAATGCTGCATGTAGGATAACAGTACTTTATAATGTACGTGCCACTGACACAGACACTGAGAGAGAGGCAGAATCACAATCTGTAAACTCAGACTCACCCTGATGAGCTTTGATCTGCGGCAAAACACTCTGAAGCAGCTCTAATGATTTCCTGTGGTACTCTGCCTGGACCTCTATCAACTGGACAGAGAGACACAGAGAGCACAGGGTCAGCGGAGGACATGGGCTGGCTGGATGCCTGCGTCACAGCTTGTGCAGCTGTTGGACTTACTGTCTGGAAGTAGCTTGCATAGTCTATTTCTTTGGCCACAAAACTGTACATGTCGGCTGATAACTGATCCTGGTTAGACAGAAAACACATTTCAAGACAACAGATCACACAAACCAACTGGAGGCAATAGGGTCAGTAATAACCTGCTTATATGATGGGCGTTATCCTTGGAGGATAGTGACGATAAAAGACACTATAAATGAAAGACACCAAAACAATCCCTTTTATAATGTTATTTATATTCATAAAAGGGCTTAGAAATCAATAAGGTTTTTTTTGTAAGTTATGTACTTTCGCTTGCTTGTCACTAAAAAACATCTCTGCAAGGTAAACATGGTGCAATATAAAAGTAGCTACCCCCTTACAGATTTCTTCTTTCAGATCAAATATATTTTAATATTAAAGAAAATAAATGCAAGGTGTGGAAAAATCTATCCAAATCACCCGGGCCCTATGGGGAAAAGTAATGCCTCCTAACAATAACTGGTTATGCCACCCTTGATGGCAATAGCTGACATCAGGCGTATCTGCTGGTAACGAGAATTTTACGGTACAATAGGGGAGCTTGTCTGAGATCATGACAAAACATTTTAAGTCTAGACTTTGAGTATCCGACCAACTCCGGTTTCACTAGAGCGGGCTCGCCTGGGAAGGTCCTCCATTGTTCCATGTTTTCTCCATTTCTTTCAGCCGTTCACTGGACGTCTTTCTTGACTGCTGAGGTAATTTTGAGACTTTTTTTTTTTTTTTGACAACTTCGTGCTGTCTGACAGTTTCAAGCTCAAGGCTCCCCGAGCCTACAGGCCTTTGACTAAGCCGTAGCCGCTTCCTTCTCCAAAGAGGTTTGTGTTATGTTTTGGTCTCAACATTGGAGACAATGGAGGCGTTTTGACTGCTTCATTCTGGTCGTGTTGGTCATTAACCTCCACCGTGGATCAACTGTCACTTTTCAACTGCCATGCTCCGTTCCCCAGGGCTACCGTTACCATAGCAACTCTGAACGTTCCAAAACACATAACAGTTTGAATCGTTTTTTCCCCCATTAGTGATTAAAATCCTCACTTGAAATTAGCTTTTTGTTTTTACTCAATATTAAAAGTAGTTTGATGATCTGAATCGATTGTCTGTGACAACAGAGCAAAACCAGACAGCAACTGCTAACCAGGAAGCAAATAGACCTTCACTGCATTTCTCTCTCATTGACATTTAAGATAATATTCACTGACTCGACAGATCTCCATGCGGTTGGCTGCCTCCTCCATCTCTTCCCTGAGGTGGTCGGCCTTGGCTCCTGTTGGCTGCAGATTGCTGGATATTCCCGAGGATTTGTTAGACTGGTAGTACCTGGGCAAAAAGTATGTCAGGGTGTTTTGCAAGGTATATACGTCGGAGATGCTATTTCAAAAATATTTTATGCATCTCTGAGGCCTTCAAAACTGTTAAGAGGAAGGTAAAAGATGCTTTTGATTTTTGTTCCTGAAAATGAAAAAAATAATCCAGCTGATTTATCAAAAATAAGCAAAACAATGAGTTATAATTTTTGTCTCCTAAACTCAAGTCATTTCCTTTTCTAATTCTGTGTGTCTGCATAGTTGGCTGGTTTTCTGTCTGAATGCAGATGACATGGAGCGCTGCCAGAGGAGTTCAGCACACAGCGGGGATGATGGGAAAAATTGCTTCATATTTGGGTCACTTTAAAAAACCGCCAGACTTGACCGCAGTGTGGAAAATAACATCCTGAATGTCACTGCTGATGATAACTCTGATACAACAATGAGTCAGCAGGAGTTAAAGAAAGAAATGAAAATAATGTCTGAAAATGTCATGGAAATATTTACATTTTTTAAGTTACTGTCTATGCTGTCTAATACATTGGAATAAACTCATAATTCAAACATCTATTAACTAAAATTGATTGTGAAAGCAAAGGATTATTGTCATTCTTCAAAGGATGCTGACATCCTTTGAACTTTTCCACATTTTGTCACATTACAGCTGCATACCTTATGTATTTTATTGTGATTTTCTTTCTTTGAAATACTCCTTCCATTTTCTCTCCTTCGTTTATTTCATCTCTAACTTGCTGCACATACTTTCAGCTCCATCTCTTCGTCCAGCCAATCAATAAAAGTCTTTCTCTTCTTCGTGAGTTTCCCGCTTCCCATCCAACTCACTGTGAACTTTTCTCTTTGCCACTCTCTTATTTCTTAGAACAATTTGAGGAGCTGTAGAGATTATGTAACAAGGGCTGAGGTGCTGTTTAGTGTTTGTTCATAAAAATGTAAACTAAATTAAATATTCTGCGTTAGGTATGTTTAATAGCAGGTGTGTGAGCAGGGGCGCCGCCAGGAATCTTGGGACCCATGACAAAAAATGAAATTGGGCACCCCCCCCCCCCCACCCCCGTGCAGCTGCTGTTACAATTTCTTGAGTCTATCTGACCCATCAAAAGCGTCACAATTTTAAAGGCTTGCAAATACCTTGCTTCATTTGGTTCAATACTGATACTGCTCGTGAATTTTACATGAAACGGTCTGGTTCAGGGCAAATATGGATGTGGGAACATTTGATTTTTACTGCTAAAATTTATTTTAGAAAACAATGGAAAAAAAGATAAATTTTGTAATTGACATTGCCCCAATTTTTTTGTTATTTTTATGAAAATAAATAAATAGATAAATTGCTGAGGGCCCCCTGTCGGTCAGGGGCCCTTGGAATTGTCATAACTTTTCCCACGGTGTGTGAGCATAAATTCTTCTGTGCTCTCTTGTAGTTCAACAAGAACAACTTTAACAGTGTGCTGAGCAACAAAATTATCAAATAATGTCATGATAAAGAGGAAATGTCTCATTCAAACAGCAAAAGCCAGACGTGACTGAGTCATTTTAACACAGATGACTCAGTCATCTGTGTTAGGAGTTCACAGGTGTGCAATCAAATCCTGGTGACATTCAGTGGGAAACTTTAGCAGGATTTTGTTCACAGGGATAAAGTTTCCCAGTTCGTAGACTGGGAAGCGTAATGTGTATTCCCTCTCACCTAAACAATAAAGTCATGCATGTTTCCACCTCACCTTGTGCGAGCAGAGTCCATGTCCAGGACCAGTTTTGCTAAATGTTTCCTTTGTTTCTGGATGTTTGGGATTTCCACCTGAGAAGACGGAGCAAAGAGTTGTTGTTTGATTTTAAAAAAAAGTAGATGACAAAGAACAGTTTTATTATTGTTAGCAGCACCACCATGCATGTGTTTCACAATCATCTAAATGTGGAGCAAGGGTCTCTGAAAAAAGGTCAGAGTCCCTGAACTTTTGTAATTGTCATTGCCCTAATTTTTTGTTATTTCTATGAAAATAAATAAATAAATTGCTGAGGGCCCCCTGTCGGTCAGGGGCCCTTAGAATTGTCATTGTCAGTGAGGCACTTCTTGCAGCTTTCTGCTAATCTCTGACATCAGTCTGTGTAACTTTTGTCTCACTTTCAGCTATGAAAAGTTAGCAGTTTGTTGGCGGTTTTTTTATGCATGAACAGTCTGTTTTAAGTCATCCCTAAACACATTTATAAAACAATATTATAAGTCTGTCTATAATCCTGAATAACCCAGGTCTTTTTTTGGGGGGGGAAGTTTGACTGCATTTAGAAATAGACTCAGTCCAACTCTGCAATTTGATGTCAGAAAATGATAAAGCCATTAACTAATAATTTACATTTTCTGAATTCAAACTAAGACATGACATAAAATGAAAGCGTCTACCTCTGCCAGGTCACATAGCGGTTCGATCACATCCTTCTCGATGGTGAGTTCGAATGAGATGAGCTCCTGAGCAAGTTTTTCCTGCGTCTCGCCGCTGAGCTTCAGCATTTTCCTGCATCCGAAGTTGAAACACATTTAATCAGATTAGTTATCACAGTCTATATTCACTGGGGTGTCTTTTAAAAATGTGACAGGTATTGGAGGACTCACCCCAGGAGAGACTCATCGCCCAGCACGGCCGCCCCCTCCACCATACATTGTGCAAGTGTTGTAAGAGGAAGCTTTTTCTGAGAAGAGACGAGCAGAAACAGTCAGTGAGTCAGCCTTAGCAGCGAAATGTGTCGGTTATCACCGAAAACTGTGATCAACACATAAAACACATCAGTGTAGGCAGCACAGAAAAACCCATGCATTCAAAGAATCTCCATCAGCATTTTACAGAGGCCCTAATTGTCGTAAAGCTTTACTGACTCTCAGCTTTTAAAGCATATTTGTGGAGAATACTCCAGTTCACATCAGAATGGTCAAAGCATTTTAGATTTTGAGCCGGAGATGATCCAATGCTGTCCTGATTCCTTGAAAACAAAATTGATTTGACACTTTAATAAAGCTGGAGATGAAATACCCAACTTTAGCCAACATGGCCGTATTTTTTACATTGGCTGGACAGGCAAAATAATCCACAGAGAAATTGTGGATGCCTGGAAGTTAAGTGACAGTATTGCCCTTCTGGTCGTGTCACCCTGAGTAATGAGCCACATTGGGAAATATAATAGATCATTAAAAGTAAGAACATGTCAATTTGCCAAATAAAACTTTGGTTTTATCTATAAGGCACGTTCTGTTTCTTACACTTTTATTATTAGACAAATTCATCAGTTTCATCTCTCTACTGTTTCTTTGATTGCACAACCAGTTTTAATACAGGAAGGATGAAACAGCTATTACAATGGTAAAATTCTATATTTACAGTTAGTATAACTGATCAAATAAAATCAACACTTCAACCACATTTAGTTACTGCCCATTTAAAGGTGTTTTTGTTCTGCTTTTCATTGAGGAAACATTTTTAAGATTTGTTTTGACCAAGCATTTTGGAGACATTTTCTCAAATAATGAATCGCAGCGTTATTCTGACCAGAAGAATTTGTTTCTGATTCGATCTCAATGATGTTTGGTGAGCAACTTACTGACTGCAGATTCCTAATCCTTCATCCAGCCGTTAAAATAGAAACAAAAACCTGTATCCTCTTTGAAACAACAATAAAGTCTGCACAAGCACCAGCTTTAATCAAAACTGTCAAGAAACGCCAATTTTGGGCATTCGAGTCTCACCGAGGGCGACCTGACAGACTTCTTGTCCACGTCCACACCCTGCTGACCCTGCAGACAGGCAGTCAGCTTCTTGTGTGTGCTGTGGGAAACCTGCTTGACCAACTCCAGTCGTTTCTCGACCTGAAACAAACACACAGCAATACAGAAGACACACCTTCAGAACGACTCGAGTTCCACACAGATCATGATGGTTTCAAAAAGTACATAAATAAATTTAGACCCAGTAGCTGTTTCATGCTGGCATATAAACACCATTACGCCTTTCATTTCATTATTAAACCAACCCAGTGGAGCAGACTCTGATGCCACCGAAGGCATCATTAATCTGGTCAATTACAATGCTGCACCCCGGATCAATCACTCGGGACGTTCAGCCTTTTGTGGTGAAGAAAATTTCAATTTCTGCGCTCATTACAGTTGCCTGAAGGCGGCTCAAGGAGCCATTTGGAAAAAGTCATTTTATGATTAGCGAATACTTTGCACCTCGAATGATTTTTTTTCACTGAAGCGCTCACACGTATTTGATGAAGACTTGTTAGTACCTGCAGTAGGTCCTCGCTCAATACTTCTGTTTTTTCAGCTCTGGAAAAGAAAACAAGACAAAGAGGAGGCTGTTAGGGCGATGAGAGAAAATCCTCACTGTGGAAAAATGACAGCTGAGAACATCTGGGCTGGAAATAAGTGAGATGAAGATACAAAATGTTTTACATTTGTCTCGATGTAGCACTCTGTGAGGATACATTTGCAGACAGGATCAAGCATATTACACATTTTACATATGGGTTATGTTTTTGTGTCCTTGTCACAAGATTGTCATTGTCGTGGCCTCATATATTTTATATTCATGCTACAGCCTGAACATACGACAACAACCTGCACAGCCAATACTGGCAACAATTTGTAGGTGTGCGTGTATCTCATGGTTGAGAGCCACAGTGCACACCAAGGTTCCTGTCTGTGGTTCAGTATTTCTTAGGGTGGAGATATGAGACTGTTTAATTGGGTTATTCGCTCAGGGCGCCAAAAAGGCTTCGACCGTCTCTGCCTTCTGGAGATGGTGTTCAGGAGGAGAACAAAACTAAACCTTTTTGGTTGATTTGCAACAGCACTGACGGAAAACCAACACGGAAAATCCCCTGACTCATTCCACACGGGAAAACATGGATGGATGGATGGATGGATGGATGGACGGACGGACGGACGGACGGATGGATGGATGGAGATAAAAAAAAGGATAATCTAGTTAGAAAACATGTTAAGAGGTTTTGAGAAACAGTCAGAATCCAATGAAAGTTTAGATTTGAGCCATTCCTGAATTAAATGAAGCTCTCATTATCAGGCCTTTATAGAACTTGATTACATGGTCAGGGGGTAAATCGAGACATGTTTAAAGGAGGGAATACAAAATAATTACTCCCTAAAGATGACTAATAACAGACAAGAAACTGTTTAAAGTTTTCAGAAGCAATGCCTGAAGTGCATAAGTACAAATATACAAATATAATTATGGAAATTGAGTTGGTATTTTCCTCAAAGCAGCCTGAATTACGATAAAGAACAGCAACTTTAACAGCCATGTCCTGACAGACCAAGAATAAGCAACGAATCAATTAGGTCCACCTCACCAAGCTTCCTGAGTGGTCCTATGAACCCACCCACTGAGGCAGCATCCTGCTCAAACAGAGTCTGCTGCAACATAGACCAATAGAAAAACCTCTGGCCGACACGCCGCTGGGGCTGAGTGGACTTTCAGCGCCACGCTGCTCCCATGCCAGACTCTAGTCCACATCGTCCTCCACATCCCCCCTGCTGACAGGTGATAACACACCTGTTCTCAGGCAGCAGCCCGGTGACAGAAAGCAGACAGAAAGAGGGGGGAAGCAGAGTGAGAGGAAGAGGCTGAGGAGGCGATGAGGAAGGGGAATGTCAGTCTGAAGAATTAGGCCTGACCAGCTGCTGCTTTGTTTCTCAAACTCCTGTTGTATTTTCTGCTACCCCTGTCAAAATCATGGATCTCAGAAACAAAGAAAAACAATAAATAAAGGTTGTATTTTATGACTGAATATACCTTCCTGACACAAAGAAAACAATCTCATAGCTGAGTCAGAGGTCTTAGTGCTGCAGCTGAATGATTATTGATCTGGCTGAGAAAAAAGAGTCTGGGCTCAGGAGGACAACGGGATGCAGCTTTCATTCCTCCTCGGCTCTCACAGTGTGACTCCCTTCTCTGTTCACACAACATTTCATCAAAAGCAGATACTGGAGCATTGGTTTTAATGGCAGCAAGAATCCATTTTTCTGGATTCTTAACATTTCTCGGTTCCCCAGATGTAAAAAGATTCAGATGTTATCAGAGTTTAACTGTTTACAGCAGATTTCAGTTTGAAGGAATATTAGCAGAGCTGGTGAGAAAGATCTGAGGCTGTTCAGACTTTATAAGTTTCACAAAAAAAGGGGAACATATGTTGAAGTTTGCAGTGTGAACTCTTATCGGGGGTGGATATGATGGCTGCTATACCCTTTAACCTCTTCACGTTGTGACATAATATCCACAGTCACAGACTTTTGCCTACTGCTCTTTGCCAAAAATTGTAAGTTGAGTCAGACTGGGCGGGTTCTTACGGGTTGAAAACCAGAATTAAATCTGGACTTTGATTTTTGAATGGCTGTCTTTCGCCTTCAGCTATTGAAAAAGAGAAAAACTGACACATAAACAAGACTGGGCACGGAAAACTTGGTGTTTACTAAGAAATTAATAAAAAATTAGAGGACATCTATTCAAATGCATCTAATGCAACTCTCAAAGTGGTGAAATCTCCCCATTCAGTGAAATGCAGCAGGCAACAGTTACTTGTTGGGTTTTTGCAACTCTGTAAGGACACGAGAAGGTCCGCTATTCCTGATGCGCTAACATTTCCACTGGGCGGGTCAGGGGGCTCTCGTAAAGTAGCATAACAACGTTTGCAGCTGCGGAAGGGAGAGGCTGACAAACACATGCTTCATATTACGGAAAAATTGTTTTAGGCTGGTGAAATACAAGCAAATAGAAACGGCAGCTCGCTGACATTGAAAACAGGAGGAAAAAGAACACATGATACAGAATATTGTCTGGCTTGCGCTGCAGCTTTTTGTGAATTTTCTGACTTTGGAAGTGCACTGCAGCATCCAGAACCAGGGCCTCTGCTGCACGGCCGGGATTTTACTGCTGCAGCTTCTGTCGTCACAGCCAGGATTCCCACCAGCAGAGAGAAAATGAGGCGGAAGCAGAGAAATGTGATCAGGATGGAAATGGAGAGAGAAAATTTACGTTTGGAAAGATTTTTATTCCCTAAGAGATAAATCATCTTGATAGATTATGAATAGTTAAGGAGGAAGAAAAGCAGAAAAAGAACAATTTGATGTTCTAAGCAGCTCTTTCGACAAAAGGCCTATAAAGTTTGGTCTGAAACAAAAATGGCCGATGGATTGAATTTATACTTGAATAAATTTATGCTTGGGGTAAAGTCCTACATTTCTCCTTTCAGTGAACACACCGTATGTCAATGCTAACAGAAGGACATGTCAACAACATGCTTTATTGCAGCAGTTAGCTAAATTTAGTGTACTGATGTAAGAAGATGTTTGAAAGGAAACAGTTTTTAATTGTCAAGAAATGTCTTTAGTTCATCCAGGCTTCACAACAACAAGAGAGAGCATGACTTTCAGGAGGTAACAGGAAGGCTGAAAGGACTACAGCTAAGTTGTTATATTTTATCCTTTTGAGATTTCAACCTTCTGTCCGTCATGGAAGGTTTTCAATTGGGATATATTGGCAAGCTTTTGGAAAAACCCAAACCCAGGCAGGAGACGGTCATAATCACCTCTGAACAGGAGGAAACACAGAAGATCAAACCAGCATGAAGGGATTTCTGAGATGACAAAGATAAAAGTAGCAGCGATAAGAATATGATGAACACTGGCAGCAATCAGATAAGTCGGATTACTTAAGAAACGCTCATCCAAAGAATATTTGAACAAAAGAAAAGCACAGACAGAACATAAAGCAGGTGAATAATTCATTCATTTTGGGCCAGACAGGGGGAAATTGTTTATGATGTCATAAAAATGGTTCAAGGACAAAAAAAAAAAAAAAAAGCCCCACAGGAGAAAATGTTCCAGGTGAAGTCAAATTACCCAGCATGCCTTTACTGCTAACCGGGGCGGGGGTGGATATGATGGCTGCTATGGCAGCAACAGAGCAGGTGGGTTTAGCAGGAAGGTGCGTGAAGATGAACGAGGCTGTGGAGTGTAATAGAGTCATGAAGGGAGCATGAGGCGCGGCGCTGTCACAACAAAAACACCTCAGATGAGATCTGTATCTTTATGTGTCACACACACACACAACACACACACACACACACACGCACACACTCCAGCTTCTTTATGCTTCAAGGTCACCTACTTTCCTTTCTCACTGAGCCTCAATACTTACACACAGGGACTGTCTTTTGTTAGTAAAAGGCTTCTTAACTTTATTGCTAGAATATGCAAATGAGGCAGAATCTATGGTCAAAAATCAAGCAACATACAGTATATCTCTTTAACAAAAAAAATTGTCTATATGTGGGTATTTTGTTGGAAAAAAAAAAGCATGTTTCACAAATCAAACTGAACATGTATGCTACACAGCTAATGCATAGACAGAAAGCATAACAAAAACACAAAGACTGTCTATTTTATCATAAAGTGACAGGCAGTTTATATTTGTCCAAGTTAATATTTGGTCAAAAATAAATGTATCTGCCTAGCAACACATTATTTGTTCATAACAGACACACCTTGGTTCTGATGTGAGTCCGGCACTGAATTACAATGAAAGACAACACAAAATAACACAAAACTGAAGGATAAAGCTGCTCCCAGCAGCAAATCAAAATGCTGTTCACAACCAGAGCTCGGAGAGTCCAGGTCCGGCTCACCAGAGGGCTTTTCTTTAAAGGGGCTCTAAATCCCTCAAGCTTTTCCCCGAGTTGAATACAATGAAATGGGCCGATTCAATCCAGATTCACCCCGAGTTTCTCAGCCCGTACGGGCCTCGCAACTGACAATGCAAAAACAAAAGTGCACAAAACTCAGAAAATAAAATCAATCATAGCAGGTTGTGTGCTTCTTTAAAGCCTTAAGAGATTCAGTTTTCACCTTCAAAGACTGAACAATATTTTGTCATGACATGAAAGCATTTAGATGAAGAGAAAATACTGATTTGGGTATTTATTAGGATGTTATTAGTGAGGTCATAAAATTACAACCTATTATTTTATGTCACAGGTCAACATATAATAAAAAAATTAATTTGAAGTAGAAGGAAACACATATGGCTTCCAAGTGTAGTTTTACAATCAGGAATCTGAAAAGTGTGGCAGATCTTTTTAAGATTTGAGTTTCTGACCAGTTCTAAAAAGAAAAGCTGCTTGGCGCTCTTGCGTTTTTTATTTTAAAGTTCAACAGTTTTCATTATTAAAGTAAGTAAAGTTTTTATGTTTTAAATAACGATTTAAAGAAATTTCTGTAACAGCCTGAGAAAAAAAACAGACATTTTTCAT